TCGAAATCTGTCGAACGCCCTTGCGCGTGTGCCGTCGCGAGAATCCTCTGCAAAAAACGGGACGAAGTGCAGACGCGCGCGTCGTCGCGCGCGTACGTCGAAAACCTTCAAAACCCGTAGGTTTCGGAAGGATTTCAAAATCGTGCGTCCAAAAAACCTACAAAAACACAAGGTTTCGCAACACGGATGTTCAACAAAAGCGTGCGCGCGCGCTCTTGCGTCGTCGTCGTCGTCGCCGTCCTCCCTCCTCCCGCGTCGTCGTCGTCGTCGCCTACGTCGTCCTCTGTCTTTCCTCGCGTTCGTCGTCGTCGTCGTCCTCTTTGGCGTCGTGGTTGTTTCCGTCGTCGTTGTCGCCGTGGTCGTCCGTCCTCGTCCTCCCTCGTCGTCGTCGTCGTCGTCGTCCGTCGTCGGCGTCTCGTCGTCGTCGTCCTATCGCGCCGTCGTCGTCGTTGTCCTCGTCGTTGTCGTTGTCGTCGTCGTCTTCCCTCCTCCCCCGTCGTTGTCGTCGTCGGCGTCGCCGTCCTTCCTCCTTCTTCGTCGTTCGCGTAGTCGCCGTCCTCCCTCCTCTCTCGTCGTTGTCGTCGTTGTCGTCGTTGTCGCCGTCGTCGTCCTCCCTCCTCCCTCGTCGTCATTTTTCGTTGGCGACGTCGTCGTCGTCTTCGTCGTCGTCGTCGGCGTCGGCGTCGCCGTCGTCTTCGTCGTCGCCGACGTCGGCATCGTCGTCGCCGCCGGCGTCGTCGTCGTCGTCGGCGTCGTTGACGTCGTCGTCGTCGTCGGTGTCGTCGTTGTCGTCGTCGTCGGCATCGTCATCGTCGTCGTGGGTTTTGCAAACCAAGTTGCGGGTAGGTAGGTGGGATGTTTGCAAGAACGCGGGATGTGTCAACTCGTTTGTTAAAACCAGTTGCACCACATAGATGCACCACATGGCTTGCACAACGTAGATTGCACAACAGAAAGTGCACAACGATGATTGCACAACACCGGCTGCATCACACAGGTTGCACCACGTCGGCTGCACAACTTCTACTGCGCCAAACAGATTGCACCACATACGTCGCACCACGTAGGTTACACAATATCCATGAAATGTTACCGACGGGGGCCCCAAACAAACAATTATTGCAATGTACGCGGGGCAATCTACGTGGTGCAATGTACGCGTTACAACCTATTCAATGCACTCTACGTGGTGCAATCTATGTGTTGCACTTGCAAACTTCCCACCCTCCCACCCGCAACTTGGTCGCAAGACCTCTTCAGACAAGACCGTGACGGTAGGTACCACATGGCACTTTGTCACGACACCGACGCCGACGACGACAGCGACATCGACGACGACGGCGCCGCCGACACCGACTGCGACGACACCGACGACGTCTCCAATGTTTTCGACGACAACGACGACGACGTCACCGACGACGACGACGACAACGACGCCGACGACGACGACGAAGACGACGACGTCGCCAACGAAGACGACGACGAGGGAGGAAAAAAACGACGACGGCGACAACGACGACAACGACGATGGAGGAGGGAAGACGGCGACGACGCCAACGACGAAAAAGGAGGAAGGACGGCGACGCGGAAAACGACACCGACGAGGGAGGAGGGACGACGACGACGAAGACAACGACGACGAAGACGACGACGACGGCGACGGAATAGGAAAGACGACGACGAGACGCCGACGACCGACGACGACGACGATGGAGGAGGATAACGACGAGGGAGGGGTGAAGACCACGACGACGACGACGACGACGGCGACGAAATAGGAGGGACAACGACGAGACGCCGACGAAGACAACGAGGGAGGAAGGACGACCACGGCGACAACGACGACGGAAGCGACGACGACGCCAAGACGACGACGACGACGACGACGACGAGGAAAGACAGAAAACGACGACGGCGACGACGACGACGACGACGACGACGAGGGAGGAGGGAGGACGACGACGACGACGACGCAAGAGCGCGCGCGCGCACACTTTTGTTGAAAACCCGTGTTGCGAAACCTTGTGTTTTTGTATGTTTTTTGGACGCGCGGTTTCGAAATCCTTCCGAAACCAAAGGTTTTCGAAGGATTTCGGCATACGCGCGCGACGACGCGCGCGTCTGCACTTCGTCCCTTTTTTGCAGAGGATTCCCGCGACGGCACACGCGCAAGGGCGTTCGACAGATTTCGACATGCGCGCGCGCGCGAAGCCCGTTTGGTAGCATGTTGTGAGAATCTTGAAAAACCTATGGTTTTCTTAAGATTTCGCAAGAGTTCGCGCGTAAGTTTTTTTAGCAACTCCGTGTTGCGAAACCCTGTGTTTTTGTATGTGTTTTGGAAACTCGATTGCGAAATCCTTCCGGAACCGAAAGATTTTGAAGGATTTCGGCATGCGCGCGCGACGACGCGCGCGTGTGCACTTCGTCCCATTTGTTGCAAGGGGCTCGTGAAAAAAATGAGATGTTAGAACAAACAATGTCACCGCATCGTGTTTTTTTACATGTGACCCTCAGGGGGGGAAAACCGGCCTGCATGGGATGGTATGATTTCATATTTAGGATGGACGAGTGTGCAGAATATATATATATATATATATATATATACACATATATATATATGTATAAATATATGAAATTATACTCTCCCAGGGGAAAGCGGTAAGGGGGGGGGGGGGGGGTAGAGTCTATTCTTTTTTTTAAGAAAGGAGAATGTATGCGATACAACCTACGTAATGCAACCTATGCGGTGCAGTTGACTTTAACAAAACGAGTTGTCACACCCCGTGCTCTGGCAAACATCCCACCCACCCACCAGCATCATGGTTTGCAAAATCCACGAGGTGGCCATTGCGATGCTTGTTTGGCGTTGGCTGGTGCATCTTTGCGGCCGCGCCGACCCTAGCACGAGCGCGCAGCGGCGAGTTAGTTTGGCGCCGCCGACGCGGGCGCGGCGACGCTGACCGCTGGGCGCATCCCGACGGGCACTTCACTGCAAGACGGCGACTTGGGCGGGCGCGGGATCATGGCAACGCCGGCAACTGTAGATACGATGATGATAGTAGCGATGCTGGTGACGATGTTCGCACCGACGAAGGCGCGGCCAGTGCGGGCGCCGATGGTGATCACGCCGGCGACGATGACGGCGTCCTCGCGTCGGCCATGAAGGCTTTGGAAAGAGTTCGACATGCGCGCGCGGCCGACCCGCGAGAGTGGCCCGCATGGTTTTATGTGACACGGATCGTGCCCCCCCAGCACGCGCGCAAGGGTGTGCGACTGATGTCAGCATGCGGCGCCAGAGGCCCGGCTGGCAGAATTCTATCAGAATGTTGAAAAAACGTATAGCTTTCGAGCGAATTCGCAAGAGCGCGCGCGCAACGTGTTTTTGACAACTGATGTTGCGAAACCAGGTGTGTGTTTATGTTGTTTGGCCATTCGGTTTTGGTGCCGTTACGCAACGGAAGGTTTCTGAAGGATTTCGGCATGCGCGCGCGATGACGCGCGCGCGTGCACTTCGTCCTTTTGTTTGCAAAGAAAGCATTCTCGCGACGGCACGCGCGCAAGGGCGTTCGAACGATTTCGATATGCGCGCGCGGAGTCCGTTTGAAACAAGTTTCTAACAATGTAGAAAACCTGGAGATTGCTTACGAATTCGGGAGGACGCGCGCGCACGTTTTTGTTCGGCAATCCGCGTTGCGAAGATCCCTTTTTCTATAATGTCTTTGGGCACTCGTGTTTTGAAATTATTACGGAACCGACGGTTTTTTTGAAGGATTCCGGCCTGCGCTCGCAACGACGCGCGCGTGTGCACTTCGTCCCATGTGCATCCATTTGTTGCAAGGGGCTTTTGAAAACGTATGCGTTGTGATAAACGAGTGCGCGCGCACAACTTGTTTTGCAGAGGACGGAAAAGGGTGGGGTCGAACCCGTCTGGGCTGGGATGATGTGAATTTCATTTAGGATGAACCATGGGGCAGAATCATATGTAAATTGCAACACACAAAGGTGGACCGATACATTCAGGGCGGGTCGAGCCAATGCTCCTAATAGAAAACAAGGAATATATGTGGTGCAATGCATGCGAAGCATTCTACGTGATGCAATAGTGCTGTGCACTCTATGTGATGCAATGAACGCGATGCAACCTACGTAATACATTCTATGCGGTGCAATATACGTGGGGCTTTGTATGCGATGCAACCACTGGAATGCAATATGTATGTACATATGAACGCGTGTCTATACTTATGAATAGTTTCATGTTTGCTTACATGCGTGGTGCAATCGATACATATGTATGTATATGTGTAGTGCAATGTATGCGACGCACCTATGGAATGCAATGTCTGTGCGGTGCTATGTATGCGATGCAGCCTATATAATGCAACCTATGCGGTGCAATTTATGTGGTGCAATGTAATGCAACCTATGCGGTGCAATTTATGCGATGCGGCGACGGGCGGCACGGACGGCGACGGGCGGGGATGGCGGCGACGGGCGGCGACGGCGACGGGCGGCGACAGGCGGCACGGGCGGCGTCGGGCGGGGATGGCGGCGCCGGGCGGCGACGGCGACGGGCGGCGACGGACGGCACGGCGGCGATTTGGCGGCGAGGGACCCGAGATGGTTAACCGAAGTAAGAACCCGTAGTAATGCAAGCACTGTCTGGGGATCGACAGATTGCACCACATATGCTGCACCACCTAACTTCTCCACACATATTGCAAAATCTATATTGCGCAGCATCGAGTGCACACCATAAGTTGCACAACGTGTACTGCACCACGTAGATTGCAATATAAACTGCTCCACCTCGATTGCACAACATCAGTGGCTGGAAACACACTTTTGGGGGACCACGATGGCCAAAGTCTACACACAATGCACGATTCTCCTCAATCCGAGACGTCGCCAAGAAGCCTCAAAACTCCAGCGAGTCCCAGGTGCCATCAAGGAATCAAGGAGCAAGGGATCTCCGTGGACACCTGCTGGCATGTCAGACCTCAACTGGCCCCTACAAGTGCGGGCGTTCCGTCTTCCTTGCCAAGACGTTTCGCCAACATCTCTATGATCTGAACGGGGCCAAGACAAACAAATGCTTCTCTGACTGCCGTCGTACGGCAGTGATCCGCGATGTACCTGGCAGCGTCCGCATCTCCATGGAGGGCTTCCGCACTCGTCGCGTTGCAGTTTATCCCTGCAATACCCAAGTGGTCCGCTGTACTGCGCAGCCAGTCGCCAAGCTTGTGCACACAGATGCACCAGTTCCCATAAAACCGCCAGCCACCTTGGCGGAGCACGTCCGTAAAACTCCCTCTGGGACGAGGAGGAGGAGGAGGAGGAGGAGGAGGAGGAGAGGAGGAGGAGGAGGAGGAAGAGGAGGAGGACGAGGAGGAGTGGTGCATTCTGTCCCTCTGGCCCTTATCCTTCCAGTCCTGCCTCATGTCTGCTGCCTGACAGGAGGGCCCACAGCGCCACCGAAGCCACACGGGAGGCAGTGCCCCTCGGTCCTCTGGCCTCCCCAGGCTGCCCCAGTCCAGCAGCACCAGGCATGCGAACAGGACGGCCCCAAGGGGCCCCGAAGAGATCGCCAAGAGGACAGGACGGCTGAACACCGGCCCAAGATGCACACGAGATGGCCCGAGAGGGCCCCAGGATGCCACACATGCAGAACAGCTGCGCTGCTCCCAATGCCTTCTGACTATCTTGTTTGACTCCCGATCTGTCCAAGCATTGCTCCAAGATGGATGCTCACGACCCGAAGGCTGCCTAAGACGGCTCCGCAGTGTCTCCAAGAAGGCCACGGAATTCCATCACGATCGCCCAGGCTGGTCCGACGAGGCCCCAAGACGTCCTCGGGCTACCCCCAAGCTGTCCCGCAGGTGGGCTCCAGAGGTTCAGATGCCCTAAGCCGGGGCCCAAGACGGCACGAACGTGACCCCAGACGCCCCCGGACGCCCTCGAGATACCCCAGAGGCTGGCCCAGGAATGGGAATTTTGGACGAAAAATGAAAAATAGTCGAAGAATGCCCCAAAATAGTCAAACATATAAAAAATCGTTCCCTGACGATTCGTTTGATATTTTTGAACATTCCTCCTGTAGAGGGACAGGCCCGACTGAAAGCAAGGCCCAAACGAGGCCCAAGTGCCGCCCCGATGCGGGCGCACGATGGCCCCGGCTGGCGGGCTGGCGGCCGACGGCGCAGCCCGCTCTGATGTCAAGAGCACCTTGGCCGCTCTCCCTCCAGAAGTCCGGAGTGATCTCGGCACATACCTCGTGACGACCTGGATCCCCGGGGGCATGGCAGAGATCATTGCGGTGGTAGCCCGTGGCAAATCCTTCATGATGACACGGCTGCAACGGCTCCCCGAGCACATTCAGTTCTTCGTTCCCGGACGCGCCCGGAAACAGGAATGCAGATGCCACAGCGGGGGCCGAAGTCTTAGCCAGAACAAGCGGAAGCAGGATATCGGGCATGATTAACGCCCGAATGCAGGATGCCACGCTGAAGATGTGTGGGCACAGTTGGCTTGAGCCAGAGCTGCAACCTATGGAGCACGCAGGCGGGTATCCGATTTGACGCGCTTACTCTGACTACCAACCTCATAAGGGGATGATCAGGGGAGGGGGAGAGGGAGAGCGGATGGGAGGTAAACAATAACCTCATGCCCGTGAGAATAAACACTAGGGGATAACAAAGTTCGGGGTTCAGGGAGAGATAATAAAAGTAGCCCAGCAAACCTCAGCATAATCTCGAAGTAAGAGATGATCAAGAGGAGACCAAGCCGAGCACGTTTTGAGACATCCTTGGCGTTTAGTTTTCATAGAAATATCCTCAACAATGGCTTATCTCTCATGAAACTTGTTTTTTGTAAGTGCTCGTGTAGGGTAGCTCATGTGCCTCAATTTCCATGGATAATCAACCCCAGAGATAAAAAAGTTCAGGCGAGCGTGGGGACAGAGAGAAATATAAAAGAAGAAGAATACAGTAGAATAATAATAGTAAGAAAGAAGAAGAAGAGGATAATAAGAAGAGGACGAAGAAAGGAAAAATCCAAAGTTCCAAATCTACCAATTTTAATTTACAAACGCTTTATGAAAATTGTTGTTTTAAGTGCTCGTGTAGGGTAGCTCATGTGCTTCATTTTCCATGGATAATCAACCCCAGGGATAAAAAAGTTCAGGCGAGCGTGAGGACAGATAGAAATATAAAAGAAGAAGAGGAAAGTATAATAATAATAAGAACATTGCTCGTTTCGTTTGAGTCTGCCTCCCAAAATTATTGGTTTCGCTTGACACATCCTGAAAAAGTGTGATCGCTTCGCTTGATGTTGCTATATCAACATCGCTTGATGTTGCTATCTCAACATAGCGTTTCGAGGTGATAATGAAGTTCGGCCTCAGCGCTCGCCGCCCAATTTGAATTTTGTATAGGGCGACGATAATCAACTCTAAACACTGAAGTGGGGGGGGTCCCTTTGTTATCATCGGCATACGGTTAGGGGGATGGGGCAAAGGATGAGGGGGGGGCGAGGAGAGGAGGGGGGGGAGATGGATGGGGAGATGACGAGGGGATGGGTGTGGGGAGAGATGGGGACAGGATGACGAAAAAGACAGGAAAGAGGAAGAGGGTGAGGTTACGGCACGCAACTAGTAGGTGCACTCGCGCCATATCTAACGTCCTGCCCTTCTACTATCCCTCTCTATTCACAGAGCAGGGGGGCTGGAAAAACCTTGATCCCAAAAGGGCAACCTAAACGAATGGCCTTCAGTAACCCCTGGGTATCGAGAGCTGGGAGGGCATGAGGGAAGCGAAGGGGGGAATGGGGAGATGAGGAAGGAGGAAGAGGACGGGTGAGGCGGTTGAGGTGGTGTGGACTGGAAGGCGACGACGAGGAAGGAATACACACAGAGGGGGAAAGAAGAAGCAGCAGATAAATGACCGGAGGGGGAGGAAAAGGACAAAGGAGGCGTGGAGGGACGTTCCGTTGGATGGACGCCCCCTGAGATCTGTCTGCGGCACACGCTGCAGCGGGATCGCAGCGTCGACTGAGGCATGGCTACACTTGGCGAGGAAGGCGAGAGCGCCGTGCCGTTCGACGGAGACTCCACGAATTCCGTTGCATGGAGCGCGCGCTGCAGTGGGAGCACCCCTGCCGCTGGTGCATTGAGTGCGGTCTCGCGTGCCGCGAAAAATCTAAAAACTATCCAAAAGGTGGTGTTCTAGAGAAAATGTGTGTTCTCTCTCGTAATTGAAACGCACCCGATTTCCCTCGCACGGATGACTTTTTTTTTGTACGACCTCGGCGCAGCAAGTGACATGACCTCACCATTGCGTCCCTGATTAAAAAAACTAATTGTGTGAACCCACCGCTGCGGCGTCGGTCCTGTGTACGAAAGATCGGTGGAAGTTCGCAAATCTAGCAAACCCTGCAGCGGAAACACCACCGATGCAAAACTACAGCCAGGGCTAAGACGAGAGCGTCGTTCCGCTGGGCGGAGGCGATCAGGACCATTGAATGTGGACAGCATTGGATGCGGCAGGCGCTGCAGCGGGAGCATCCATCACCTTTCAAACATCGAGACCGTCCTGATTGGAACAGCTATATCGAAACAACTACAGTGCGGGATCGACCGCAAGAAACCCTCGCAAGAAACCTAACCCTGAGAACCCGCACGCGAGGTGCACCGGAGGGGAAACCCGGAGCACCCTGAACGCAGCAGCTCCTTCAACGGCCGCAGGAAGTCGCCGCGCAGCGCGCGGAGCGAAGACTCCCAGGGTACCCTGACGAAAACCATATGATTTCTTGATGCGCGCCCCCCCTGTATATCGAAACAGCTATATGGAAAGCAAGCTCGGGACATCCCTGTGTGACAGGAGCCATCGACGAGGTGGGCGGGAGAGGAGGAGGAGAAGGAGGAGGAGGAGGAGGAGGAGAAGGGAGGGAGGAGGAGGGAGGAGGAGGAGGGGAGGAGGGAGGGAGGAGGAGGGAGGAGGAGGGAGAGAGGAGGGGTGGAGGGAGGAGGGAAGGAGGAGGAGGAGGAGGAGGAGAGGGGAGGAGGAGGAGGAGGAACAGCAGATGCAGGCGGCCGCAGGGGAGGCAGGCGCCCAGCCGATCGTACAGGCGTGGCGGAGGGAGGAGCAGAGCGGGGGGACAGGAGGACGGGAGGGTCGGAGGGGGAGACGGGTCAGAAGGGGAGGGGGGAACTCCTCCTCCTCCTCCGCATCTTCCTCCTCCCTCCTCCTCCTCCTCCTCCTCCTCCTCATCCTCCTTCTCCTCCTCCTCCTCTCTCCTTCTTCTCCTCCTCCTCCTTCTCCTCCTCCTTCTCCTCCTCCTCCGCCTCGTCCTCCTCCTCCTCCTCTCCTCCTCCTCTTCCTCCTCCACCTCGAGCCTCGTCAGAAGTTAAGGAGAGACAGCAGCAACCGCTGGGATGATGAAACCGCCCCTAGCGCCCTTCCCCGGGACGACCCCGACCCCTCCACGGCGATGACCTGCGCGCGGCACCCATTTCCGAGTGCCGCGCGCAGGTCATCACCGCTAGGGGATCGAGGTCGGCCTTGGGCGATAAGCAACAACCAGCGGTTGTACTTGTCTCTTCTTCGCCGCCCGTGCGGGAGGGGGCCCAAGGAGGGGAACAAGGAGCAGATGGTTGGCAGGTGCGCGCACGTACGGCAACTTCGTGTCGTGACGACTTCTGCGCGGGTCTCAAGCCGCGTGGAGCGCTCAACTTTGAACAGTCGCGGCTTATGATAGCGTAGAACGTTTAGTATCCACGTAGTCTCGTCTCTAGCATGGGGGTGTACTGACCGACAACAAAGAAACACCCGACATTTTCCAATCGCGCTCGAGTGTGACCGAAATGCCCAGCTCGAAGCCAATCAGATTTGCACTTTCGATTGCAATTTCGGACGCACTGCGTTTTCGCTTACAATTTTGGTCACACATTCGATGACATATCTGTTTCGGACACACACACACCGTTCTGGCTGATAAAGGCTGGGCGCCATGACACCGTCGGCCCGTTCTGTGCAACTGGCGGCGTTCAACTTCGGTGGCAACTCCTGGGAGCCTCCCATACCATCTTGTCGACTCTTGCGAATCGACGCTGATCGACGCTGGTCGACGCTATATCGACGCTAAGCGACGCTAATTTCGCGCTTATCGATGCTCAGTCGACGTTAATCGACGCTAACCGACGCTAGATCGGCGCTACCTCATCGACCCCCAAGCGCTAATCGATGCTAGTCGACGCTAAAGCCGGAATTAAGAGAGTATCCCAGGCTCCCATGAGTTGCGACCGAAACGTTCAACCTTGAACGTCTGGCCCAGGGTCGCTCCCGAGTCAACGCGGCGCGGATCTTCCGTACCCGTTCCCTGCTCGAGCACGGACCGACCGCCCTGGCATTTGTATAGGTACCACGAGATGCTTTTAGAACCCCAACACGTTCCAATAGCAAAGACAGTGCTCTTAGAACAGCAGCCCGACGTATCCAAACAGGACAACCTCAGCCAGAAATGGTCTGAGAACACCTCGTGCAGAGCAGAAGGCAAGGCTCTCAGAACACGCTTCTGCTGGGCCCACAGGCGAGGCCCGGACGCTTCGCCACTGCTTGACGTGCTCTCCAACGCTATAGCCGCCGGCAGTCCGCGGCGCCCTCTGGGGCGGAGCAGCCCGGCGTCTGCGGGCGGGCGTGCGGGGTCCCCCTGCCGGCGACCCCAAAGGCCCCCCCCCAGAAGAGCGAAAGCGAGGAGAGCGTGGCGGCGTGCGCTCCATCGGCGCTCCTCGACGCGAACGCGCCAGAGCGGCGCTGTCTCATCGACTCCCGGACGCTGATCGACGCCAGTTGACGCCAAAGACGGCATCGAGAGGGTATACCAGGCTCCCATGCTTTGCTACCGAAGGCATCTTCTCCATAAGTGTGGCCCTTGGCATGTAGGAGCTGGGGCCTGATATGGACTCCTCTGGGGTCCAGATTTCCTTGCGGGCCTCGCCACGACCCCTCCCCCCCCGAGGAGGCTAAAGAAAAACGGCATCAAACCAACATTGCTGGCAACTGCTCCCGCACTTGATCTTGCTACGTTGACCTGGCTGCCATCTGACATCACCAGGGGCGCGGGGCTTGCAGCCAAGACACGCCTCTGTTTCATCGACTCGATGCGCAGAGCAAGACTCAAATATCGTGGCCCCCATCCCGCGGGATCCAGTCCTTTGCGAACCTTGAGCTGGCCAACAGACTCCTGCACGCCTCGTGGTCCCAATGCAGCAACTTGCACAGCACCGCGACGAGTTCGTGGTAGCGGTCGGACCTCTGCTGCAGCCCGTAGATTGCCTGTCACCGCAAAGAACAACGACTTCGCTGTAAAGGTTGTAGGACTTACCGCAACAGAGCGTAGCATTCAAATCGCGGGCACATAAGGAATCGTAGCTGCACGTCTGATGATGTATCTGGTGGCACGTCCCCTGGCAAGTCTACTGGCACGTCCCCTGGCACGCCCCCAGGCACGTCCCCTCTGACTCTGACGCACCCTCTGGCACGTCCCCCGCCGCAGCCCCATGCGCGCATTGCGGCACGCCCCTGGACAAATCCCCCCGAACATGTCCCCAGTAAAACGCCTCCCGGCATGCCCCGAACGCGTCCACTCGCGCGCCCCGTGGCACGTCCCCAGGCATGTCCCTGGGCAGGTACCCCGAAACACGTGCGCTGGCACGCCCCTGGGCATGCTCCCTGACACGTGCCTGGGCCCACCCCCTGGCCAGACGCAGGTGGGAAAACAGCAAAAAACGTGGAGAAGCGCAACGGCGTGTGCTCGTCCCGAAGCAGCCAACACTTGTTCGCCTGCGGCGACGGGCACAATCCAACCGGAGGGCCCTCCCTCCGAGAAGCCCTCCGGGGGAGGGCACATCCCTCGACTTGTCAGCTTCTGCTCTCGAGCTTGGCTGTGCTGTTGCCACGCGTACACGGCTGCGGGGGAGGCGCGCGCACGATTCGTCGCAAGGCACAGCGGCAGCAACAGTCACGGGCCCAAGGGCTCGGGCGACAACGCACTCCTGATTGACGCGCCAGACATGTCATGATCGGGTGTCTCGGCTACGCACAGCCATGGAGCAAAACCATTGCGCTTCGTAAGACTCGAGCGCGCGTGGCGAAACAGTAGTGGGCGGTAACCCTCGGACACGATAACCTTTCAAAAAGGGCACTGATGAGGATAGGGCGTCAGATGTTGCCATCGATTGGCAGCGATGCTTGACCCGATAAACAAAAAAACGACCAAACAACCTGCGCGCGCAAAGAGCTCGCGAGGACTGCAGAGAAACGCGGCCAACCGGCCGCGTGCAGGTCGGGCGCGCCGCTCGCTCAAGCTCGCATGGCTCCCTGCACTGAGCGAAGCCGACCCCAGGTCATTCAGCTTCGCGCATCGCGGATCAACATCATCCTGAAGCCATCGCGCCGCCTCCCTGGAGAAGGGCGGCCGGCCCGGCCCCAACCGCGAGGGGCACGGAGAAACGATCATCTTCGCGCCCCCCCACGGGTGACCTATAGCCGACCGCCCCGCTTACTCTTCCGCAATTTCCTGCGCGGCTGGCGAGCCACCGGGGCACTGGCAAAACACTGCGGGCGCACACCCCACATCGAACAGGGAACCGGCGCTGTTCACCACCAAGAGCGAGGAGGGAGAGGTACCACCACGGAGCTCGCGACCTCGAGCTGCAATCATGCAGGCTTGCTGGGTTCGAGCTTACCGTTAGGTCGGGCGCGTCCTCCTGCAGGGGGATTTTGGACGAAACATGAAGAATAACCGAACAAAAACAAACATGCCCAAACATACGCCAAACATCGTCCCCAGACTAATCCCACCAGCCCTCTGGGCGTAGGTGGGTTAGGGAGTTTCCTCTTCCAACCTCCTTCTTCCCCTTCGGGGAGGGGTTTATCACTGTTTCCTATTAATAAACACCCCCTCCCCCAGTCGACTGGGGGCCAACCCAGGTCCATGACAACCGCCCCCCACAATCCCTTTAAAAAACAATACAAAATACATTCTGCCTCCAAATCCGGAACATGCGCAGCCAACCCCATGCGCCCCCCCCCACCATCCCTCTCAAAAAACAATACAAAATACACTTGGCGGAGGCGGCGGCGGCGGCGGCTGCGGCGGCGGCGGCGGCGGCGGCTGCGGCGGCTGCGGCGGCTGCGGCGGAGGCGGCGGTGGCGGCGGTGGCGGCGGCGAAGGTGGCGGTAGCGGCAGCGGCTGCGGCGGCGGCGGCGGCAGTGGCGGCGGCGGCGGCGGCGGCGGCGGAGGCGGCGGTGGCGGCGGCGGATTGGCCCCCAGTAGCTACCCATCCAAAGACGACTGCTGAATATGCTGAGGCTCGGGTCAGACTCGGGTGCTACGTATGTGTTGGGAGGGCGGGTGGGAGTGAGCGAGACGGCTTGCGGGCGGGGGGGGGTCTTGACCCCTCCCCCTACCCCCTCCCCTGGACCTGGACGGGGGGGTTCGCGACGCGTTGGAGCGTCCAAGAGGGCCGAAGACGGTTCCAAGAGCGCCTCGGAGAGCCCAAGATGAGCTCCAAGCTGGCTCAAGATAGCCTCCGATGCCTCAAGATGCCTCCGAAGATGCTCCAAAAGGCCCCAAGACCGCCCCAAGACGGCTCCAAGAGGCCAAAGAGCTTCCCAAGGAGGCCCCCGAGAGGCCAACATCCTTCAAAAACCGAAGGCAAACCGAAGGCCAACATCCTTCAAAAACCTTTTCGCTTCCGATGGCCATCCGAGGCCTCAAGATGGCTCCAAGAAGGCCCAAGAGGACCCCATCAGGGGCCCAAGAGAGCCCCAGGACGGCGGCAAGAGCGCCCAAGAGCGCTCCAAGAGCGCCCCAAGAGGGGTCGAGGAGGCGATTTCAGGAGCTCCCGTACGTAATTAGGGACCCCCCCTTCTTCGATCGATGTTCTCCAAGATGGCCCCAAGAGGCGCCCAGGAGGCCCCGAGAGGACCCCAAGCGGCCCCAAGAGGCCTCCCCGAGGCACCCAGGACTCCCAAGAGTCCCTGGCCAAGGGACCCTCATCGATCTTCCTCATTTTCTGCCTCCTCCTTCGAACGATGACGGCTGCCTCTCTCTCTGCTCCTACACTCCCCTGGTCACCTCTACTCGCCTGGGCGTCGTTTCTGGATGGGCTGGCGGGGATATTTTTTGTCGGCAGCCGCGAGCGAGAGCGCAACAGCGGCGAGTCAAAGTCCAAGCGTGCCGCGCGGGGGGCGAATTGACCAAGCAGGAGCAAGCCTAACACCGTTACTCAGCCGGCGAGGCCTCAGGCACCGCCACGGCAGACAGACCGGCGGGTGAGGGCGTGCAAACTGCGGCTGCCTTACCTAGCACAGACAGGCCTACCGCAGCAACGCAGGCCGAGACCAGGAGGTGGCCGAGGGAGGGAGCAGGGCTGCAAACTGCCAGGGGCTGCAAACGTGCATCAAGCGGCAGACGCGCTGCTGACAGCCAGGGGCTGCTGACTGCCAGGGGCAGTAAGCTGCCGGGGGTCCAGGGGCGCGCACTGCAAATTAGCCAACCAAAGTTGGGCCGCGGCCAAAATGGCGCGGAGGCCGTACCAGGGTGGCTGGTGAGCGTCTAGATTGTTGTTGACTCTGTTTGAATATTCCTACTCTAGAGGGACAGGCCCGACTGAAGCTCACCGAGGGGGTCCTGCTTCTTTCGGGGGCGCGCAAACATGGATTAGTGATCCATGGATTCGGCGCGCGGTCGCCAGATCCATGGACCGGGGGAGGTGCCCTCCGCAAAATGCGGCCGGCGCCGCCTCGTTCGGCGGCGGAGATCCGCGATCTTCCATGGAAACGGGACCCGTCGCTAATCCACGCCCCCTTGATCCAGGTTTGCGATCGCCTGCTCTATAGGGAGAGCCCAAGAACGCACGCCCCCGTCCGCGAGGCCAGCCTCGCGACAATCCATCTTTGCGGTCGCCTGATTCTTTGGTGCTGGAAGCTGGGTGGCAACGTCGCGGTCGGGCCCCGACCCTGGGCGACCGGGAGACGCCCGAGAGGCGCTCAGGGCTTCACCCCTGGACTGGCCAGCTGGGCTCTGGTTGAACGTCCTCCTCCTCCTCCTCCTCCTCCTCCTCCTTCCTCCTCCTCCTCCTCCTCCTCCTCCTCCTCCTCCGTCTCCCTCCTCCTCCTCCTCCCTCCTCCTCCCTCCTCCTCCTCCTCCTCCTCCTCCTCCTCCTCCTCCTCCTCCTCCTCCTCCTCCTCCTCCTCTCCGTCCTTCTCGTACTCCCCCCCTCCCCTCGAAGATGACGTGGTACAGCGACCTCACAGGAGGGAAAGATAACGAAGACCGTGACCAAGAATGAACGCCGACGGACCATGACCGAAACTCTGCATCGGAAATCTCCCGCGACATCTCCGTCGTGGTTATCGTGACTCCTCCCTCGAACAACGATCTCCCTCACCTCGCTCACCTCCCGCAAGAGAAACTGAAAGGTAGCGATGCCACCACTTCCCGGACCTCTCCGGGGTTGCGTTCTGGCCAAGATCTCGAGGCGAATCCAGCGGTGGTGGCGATGGCCTCCCAGGACCCAAGAGAGGCAACAAAGGCAAGGGTACCTTCCTGTTTTGAACCTCGCCCACCTCCCACGGTTTGAGCTCCCTCGAGGCCCCCTCCAAGTCCATGGACACGTTCTGGCACTTCACCGCCCAGGCGGCCTCGGACATCCTCGAGGCGCCGCTGCTCGACCGGGCAGAGGGGTTCTCCGCCTGCTTGGGGGAGCTGGCACCACAAGTCCACTCCTCCTCTCGCCCCCGCCTCCTCCTCCTCCTCCTCCTCCTCCGCCTACTCCTCCTCCTCCTGCACATTCACCTCGTTCTCGTTTTCCTCCTCCTCCTCCTCCTCCCTCCTCCTGCACCTTCACCTCGTTCTGCTTTTCCTCCCATCTCCTCCTCCTCCTCCTCCTCCTCCTCCTCCTCCTCCTCTTTCTCGTTCACCTCGGTCTCCTTTTGCTTGTTGTTTCTCCTCCTCCTCCTCCTCCTCCTCCTCCTCCTCCTCCTCCTCCATGCAGATTCCCCATCCCCCTCCGCCGTCATCACTTCACCGCCTTCTTCTTCTGAGGACGAGGCGCAGGAGGTTGAAAAGGAGCGCAACAAACACATGAATCCCAATCAGTGCCGTGCTCACCTACGTGCCGTGCCGCGAGGAGATCCAAAGCAACGAGACGGCTAATGAAAGAGAGATGTGGGGCAGCACCAACTCCGCAGGAGCACGAGGACGAGGAGCTGAAACGTGAAACGGAGGGTGAGAAATAGGGGGGGCTGAGTGAGGAAGGGCGGGGGAGGAGGGGGAAGGGGATGAGTGACTCGCTCGGAATGAGAAGAGGGGGAGCGAGCGTGGTGCACGGAGGCCTGCACCACACCGCTGCAGATCGCAGCGGATCGAGACGGAACTGTGGGCCCACCCTCCCCAGACCCCCGACGCCATGACTTCTTCACGGCGCGACCCCCCAAGGTCCGGCCCCTTTCCCCAGGACCGGCCCTTCCCCCCGAGCCGTTCGCTGACGGCCCCGAGGCCCGGTGAGGCCCCACGGAGGCCGAAAGAGCCCGTCGTGATCCTGCTCCTGACTCGAGGGGGCCCTGGGCCCTCGCCAGCCCCCGCGCTTCCCCCGACGGGCTCGAGGCGGGCGCCCGCCCCGCGCGCCCGCGTGCCGCGTGCCGCGGCGCGCGGGGCCCCCGGGGCAGCACTCCCCCGAGGGGGTCCCTTCGGAGGTGCCCCCGCCCCGCGCCCATCGCGACGTGCGGCGGCGGAGCCGCACATGCCGCAGGCCGTGGCCGCCGGGCCCCGGGAGGCCCACGAGGGCTCCAGGGGCGTCGCGCCTCGCGCCGCCTGCACGGAGGCGGGCGACGGCGCCGAGGGCAGACCCGAGCAGTTGCCAAGCAGCACACAGCAGACCTAGGGCAAAGACAGGACCCGTCGGCGGGAAGAGCGCGCACAGACACAGACAGAGACACCTGTGTGTAGATGTGTCAGACTTGGCACGGGCAGCGCACATCCAGGAAAGAGGAGGGGGCCGAACAGGGGAAGCGGATAGGGAGTGCGGGGCAGAAGTACGGAAGACGGATGTCAGAGGAGAGATGGGGAAGTATCTAGGTGGGGAGCGGGTGACATAATACCCATAAACGAACGAGGCGAAAGAGGGGGTGAGGAATGAAGGGGGGAACGGCGAACGGGATTGAGGCGGAATGAATAAGGAAGGATGACGCGGAGAAGGCGCGCTGACCAGAGACCACCCCAGATGTGTCCAACGATGCGGGAGCACACCCACCCGTCTCCGAAGTCCCCTCCGCAGCAGGCCCTGCACGCATTCACTTTTCACTGCGCCAAGCGCGCCTCACTGGAACACCGAGCGCGTCACGGGCCGCAGCTACGGCGAGCGCTCCTCGTGGAAATAAACTGCCCCCCCAATCCATCGAGCCGTCAGGAAGGCGACAGGATGGCGCCACAACGTTCAGTTCGAATGCCCGGCGAACACGACCTGCTTGAAACAGAGAGCGCCCTCCATCCGCGCAACGATTGCAAAACTTAGGCTTGCCGACCTGCCACGGAGAGAACAAGCGACGTCTCAAGAGGGGGCCCCTTTCGAAGAAGCACCGCCCTCGAGCCTGGCAGCCGTCGAGGCCAACGAAACATCAGACGAAACCCCGCTTTCACAAAACACATGCACCACCGCTCATCCGCAAAGTGTTGGGGATGCTCGGGACTAGTGACTGGTGTGCGCGGCGCCCAGGCGCGAGCCCCGCAAAACCAGCCAGCTGCCCTCCCTCCGTGCGGCTGCTGGGAGTTGTGCAGCCTCAGGCTCGGAGCTCTCGGTGAGAGTCTCTCCGGCGACACGCCCAGCCCGCCCCACCAGCACGTCTGGTGCTGTGGCGGGGAAGGGACACTCACACCGCGTGGGCCCCCGAGCGGTGCGGTGACGGACCGCGCGGGGACCCTCGGAGGCCCCAAAGACCTCACCGCACGGTCCGTCGCCGCACGGTCTTTTGGACCTCGGAGGCCCCAGCCGCCCGGATACGTCCTCGGAGAACGGCCCGAGTCCCAGAACAGCGCGGCTACCCCGAGCCCCTGCTGAGCCACCACACGGCATGTTCACCGCACCGCCTGCCGCCTCTCGGACGCCCATGCGCCGCACACCGTTCGGCCTCGTGCGTGCTCCTCTCAAGATGGCCCAAGATGCTCCGAGACGGTGCAGACGTTCTGGCGCTGGACCCGCCGGGAAAAGTGCGCACGTCCGAGCGATGCCAAGACCATGTGGGGTGGCCGGCCGGGGCGGATAACATTAGGTCGGGACTGTCCCCCTACAGGGGGTTTTGGACGAACAAATAAAAGTACATAAACATATCCAAAAATACGATTAAAAAACGTCCCCATATTATTGTTGGCCTATTTTTGAATATCCCTCCTGTAGAGGGACAGGCCCGACTTAGGCATAAGAGGAAGAGCGGCGGAAGACGCCCGGGGAGCGGGCGCTGGCGGGAAGCCGACGGCAGCCCTTCTGGAAGCGGCACGCGGGCGCCTTGAACATCGCGCGCCAGCCGCGCACCAGGCCCGCAGCGAGCTCGCGGACCTCCGCGGAGAAGGCCCCGGTGCGCCAGCAGGGGTCGTTCAGTTCGAGGGCGACCTCGTCTTCGTGTCGAGGGGAGGGGAGAGGCGGGAGGGGGAGGCGGAGGAGGAGCCAGGATCCAGCATGGTAAGCTTCGGCGCCAAGGTGTTGAGACCGTCCCAAACTTCTCGGGGTGCCCGTTGAGGCCAGCCGGGACTGTCTGGTTGGGCTGTCTGTGTGCAACCCGAAGTCTTACCAATCCAGCATCGAGGTTCCTCGGCGTCCGTGACTCTTTTCGGGCCTCGGGAGCCGTCCAGAATCCTCAAGCAACCTCCAGCGATTGCAGACCTCCAGAGGGCGACCTCATCTTCTGCATGGCCATTGGGCGGATTGTCATGTTTGATCCCGACGTACCTCATTTATTTCTGGTTCCGGGGGGCGTGTTCTCGATTCCCACGACTATCACACATTGGTCCAGGAGAAAAAGCCTACCCCCAAGGAAAGGGTCCAGAGTCGAGACCGCTCGGGCCCGCGAGCTGATCAATAGACACTGACAAAAAAAACACGGCGTCGCATGCTGGGGTAAGGGAAGACAAAAGCCAAGAGGAAGCTCGAAGATCCAGAGTGTAGGTGTTCCGTGTGTGATTCTCTCTGTTGTGGACGTCGGAGATCCTCCAGGGAGCTCTGGGGCCGCTCCGCTGGCGGGTGGCCTTCCTTTTTGGGGGAAAGGGAGGAACGAGAGGAGGATCGAGGATCACAGGTACTTGTTTGGTGCTTTGTCTCGCCATGGGGCGCAGGATCCGTCCAGAGGCCGTCGAAGACTCTGTGGGCGAGAGAGTGCGTCCCCTGACGCTGCTGGACGTTCCCTCTCGCCCTCTTCGCTGTCCTGCTCGTCCCTCTCGTCCTCCTCCTCCTCACTGCCAGCCTCTCCTGATGCCCTGCTTACTGCTCCTCCTTTTCCTCTTCACCTCCTGCTATCCTCCTCATCCTCCATCCTGCATTTCGACGTCCTTCTCCTCCGATACTTATTCGCCAACTCGCTTCCTCCTCCTCTGCCTCCTCTCCCTCCGATCCGTTCTCCACCGACGGCGAACAATGTGCCCGCCGAGCTAGCACTGCCACTGCCAATTCGAGGAAGACACGTGACTCAAAGCGAATCTGAGACAAGAGGAAAGCAGAGGGAGTAATTGAGGAATGGCTGAGCATGGAGACCGCCTTCCTCTTGGTGGCCCAAGCGCCCAATCGGAGCGTGAGGTGGGAAGGGAGAGGAGGGTGGCAGTGCTACTTTGATTGCTGCTCGTCCGATATCTCTCGTGCGCGCCGGCGACCTCCTCCTCCCATACTTCATGCTACAGGAGTGCGTGGTCCGGCTAGGGCACGTGTCTATTATGTCATAAATAATTGAACTTTGGTGGTGATGAAACTGCCTTGCCGCCTGTGGCTCAGCAATGACAGAGCTCTGGCCAACCAGCTTCTGAACGCATCGTCGCCCAGCGTATGCTGTTATGGAGGTATAACACCGTCACACCCATCCCACCGCTAGTCAGCTGGCTCACTCCGCGTTCGAAGATGACAACCCGAGCTTCAAGCGCACCTCAAATTGTTAGCCGACGAATGGACTCGGAAGACGCCTGGACCCCGTAGCGAAACTTGAAACAACAAGGCCTGAACGGCAAGGCAAGGCAAGGCAAGGCAAGGCGCGCCTGAGTCCGCCGGGGGGGCGGGGCCTGGAAGGCAAGGCAAGGCAAGGCAAGGCAAGGCAAGGCAAGGCAAGGCAAGGCATGAGGAGTGATGCCTTGCCCTGCCTTAGGCCATGCCTTGCCTCGCCGCTAAGCTCAAGGAGGGATGCCTTGAGCTGGAACGGCAAGGCAAAAGGCACGGCGCGCCCGAGTCCGCCGGGGGGGGCAAGGGCCCGGCAGGCCGGCGCGGGCCATGGCAGGGCCCGCGGTCGCAGGTGCGGAAGCTGTGTGATCACTGCTGTGTGTGTGTGGCGTAGGACTGCGAGGCCGACGTGGCATCACAGCAGCAACTCGGCCCCCGACTTTCGTCCTGGGCTCGGTTTAGTGACGTGATGAAGTTCGGGGTCCTCACGTGGGAAACAGCATCACTTCCCTAAGCTGGGGCCCCTGGGGCCTCAGAGGGCCCTGGGGCCCAAAATCAGGGAAGTGATGGTTTTCGGGCCTCGGAAGGAATGCCTGTTCCAAATTGCTCCTCTGAGTGCTGCCATGTGATAGTGTAAACCAACATCGGCTGCCAGGTTCGAGGAACATGCTTGCTGTCAGAAAGTGTGTGATGTCGTCCTCCCACCGCTCAAAAGTCTTCACTCGGGCGCACCGGCGAGTGGACTGGGGAGCCGCAGACGGCTTGGCAGAAGGTGCAACCATTCCGCTACGTTTCGGAGCATGGAGGTTATTGGCGCTGCCACGCGCCTTCACCAGCAGCGGCTTCGGAAGCGGGGTGCAGAGCGGGCGCGGCACCAGGCACGGCACGGCATGTTCCACATGCTGGGATGGAGATGGCACGCAGTGGCCATCGCCCCCAAAAGCAAACTCATGGTATGTTGCACCTCCAGAAGACCTCGTCTGTCCCATCGCGCCAGCTATCCGTGTCGAGTCCACGTCGGATCCATGCCGACCCAGTCGAGACCGTGTTGAATCCGGGTCGGATCCACACCGGATTCGCATCGAATCCGCGTCGAATCCACGTCCGAGAAAAAGGAACGACCGCAACTTACAGAACAGGAGAGGTTGCCCGAACATGTAACGCAAAGCGTGGACGCCCGAGTTATCCGGGGTAACTCGGGTCCGGGGTAACTCGGGTTTGGGCTCCCGAAAAACGAACCCGAGTTAGCCCTGACCCGAGTTACCCCTGATGATTCGGGGCTCTGGACGCCCGAGATATCCGGGGTAACTCGGGTCCGGGGTAACTCGGGTTCGGAATCCCGAAAAACGAACCCGAGTTATCCCTGACCCGAGTTACCCCTGATGATTCGGGGCTCTGACAAAGCGTGGACGCAAGGGGGGGGGGACCCACGCCCACTGACGCCAACCAGCCAGTGCCCGCTGCCGCCGGCGAGCCTGCCACACACCGAAGACGGTCGGGTCCGCGTTCTCCTCCTTGCTGCACCGTCCCCTCGTCCCCTCCACAGCCCTCCCCCTCCTCCTCCGTCCTGCATCATCCTCGTCCTCCTGCTCATCCTTCTCCCGCTCTCTCTCTCCTGGCGCCCTGGCCTTCGTGGCCTTGAGGCACCTGACGCTCACAGGGAGGGACTCCAACTGCCTCGCCCCGGCGCTCGGACGACGAGGACGAGGACCGACCGAGGACGCGCCGGCTCGGATGCTTTGGAACGCTTTTGGGAAGCCTCGTCGCTGCGGCTGCAGGCGGCTCGCGCACATTTGCCAGGATGGACCCTGGGAAGTGTCTGGGGGCTGGAACTCACACATACAGTCAAAAGTATGATTCAGAAAATTATCAATTCAGAAAGATGGGCCAGCTGTTCAAAAGTTTCTCAAGGAAACGCTGGGCCAGCTTTTGGAGCCAGGAACGTACACTGTTCATTTTTAGGATCCAAGGCCACCAATCCCCTTAAGAAACTGAGCCAGCTTTCCGGCAAGTTGGTTAAGAAACGCTGGGCCAGCTTTTCGGGAGGAGGTGTTTTAATCAGATGCTCGACGACTGTAGTATCCCTGGGCCCCAGGAGGCAGTGGATATGGATATGCTTGGAACCTCCCTGGGCCCAACGGCATTCGTATCCACGACCTTCGCCTAATTACTACTGGGGCCGCAGATCTGATCGAAACCCATACGTTCCCCCAGCCCGCCAGCTCGAAAGGCTCCATCACGCATGAATCTGAGAGAATCCGCCACCGTGCCACACTGTGCCGACATCGTCGCAAAAAAAACATGCCTGCAACACAATGAACCTCCTGCAAGCCGTGAGGGGACCAAGGGAGCGACCAGCACAGCCTCCTCACCCTCTGGGCACGATTCAGCTACCCGCGGGCCAGAACCTCCCAGGTGACACGACAGGAAGGGAGGAGGGGAGCCGCGGACAAGGAGGGGGAAGGGGGGGTAGGGGCCACCGCAATCAAGTGCCCCAGGCCCCATGGGTAGATCTGCCGCCCTGGCCACGGCGCTAATTAGCATTAGATACTGGGAGCACGGCTGCAAATTCCGCAAACGCCTGGCCGAACCCCTGTTTCGCCCACATGCCTTCGGCGCTCTTCGGCGGTCCTCTGCGCGAAGGCAGGGCGGTTGGACTCGGAAAGTTCTATGACGGCACACCTGACTCTACGTACGCAGACGGTCCAGAGGCGAACATAAGCAACTTCAGCAGATTTTGAAATTGTGCGTTGGCCCCTGGAATGACTTTCCCACGAATCCGACGGCAATCTGTTTTTCACGACCTTGGGCACCGAGCTCTTGATACAATCACCAGAACCGTGATTTTTGCCGGTGAGCTTTCTGACGACGAGGGGCATCCCCCCGAAGACATCCCCAGCACCCTGCACGTCAGAGCCCTCCATCCGCCTTCCCGACGCCCTGCTGGGTGGAGGACAGAGATACCACTACCGCTGCTCCCTGGACTTCTCCCGGGGTGCATCCTGGCCAGGATTTCGACTGGCATCCGGCCGTGCCAGTCCCCGAGCAGGCCCTAAACGACGAACGCGAGGGACGGGCATGGAAATGCTGGGTCTCCTCTGCCTGCTTCCCTGCGCCTGCCGTGCCCCTCCCCCCTGAGATCCGACGTAGCGAGAAAATTGCAACCTCGTAGAAATCCGCGCCCGGAGCCCCGGACCCACTCTGTCTGCGTCATTTTTCGAGCCGGGTCGATTGGTGAGGGTCCTCCTCCTCCTCCTCCTCCTCCTCCTCCTCCTCCTCCTCCCTCCCTCCTCCTCCTCCTCCTCCTCCTCCCCCTCCTCCTCCCCCTCCTCCCCCTCCCCCGGGACCCGGAAAAAGGCGACGACGCCCGGCTCGGAAACACGGAGCCGCCAGGATCTCAGGGCCTCCGCTCGGGGGGCGCCCGGGAGGGGGGCGCCCCAGGCTGGGGGGCTCGCAGCTCGTGGCCGGAGGCGCCGCGCGCGGAGGCAGGGGGGGAGGGGGGAGGGGCCAGGGGGCGTGCTGGAACAAGAGGAGCGGGCCACTCCACACGCGGGGGGCCCTCGCGGCCCAGGCCATGAACTGCCCCCACGCCCCTGGTCCTACGGTCAGGTCGGGCCGGTCCTTCTACGGGGGGATGTTGGGCGAAAAAAAAAATGATGAAACCCAAAGCATACTCCAAACTGCTCAAACATAAAAGAATCGTCCCCCGACTGTCTTAGATCCACTTAGTCCTACAGGCCCGACTGAGACCTACGGCCCGGCTTAGTCCTACGGCCAGGAGCGTTTACGTAGCGTGTCGCGGCGGCGGCCCCAGCGACACGCCATACCCTGCAGGCTGCTGGCGTGTCGCTCCGCTCCGCGGGGCGGGAGTCTGGGAAAGGATCGGGGCGTTGACGACTGGGGACCAGGACGCGGATAGCGCGCCGCGCCGAAGCGTGGTGGGCCAGAACTGGCGGCGCGATACGCTATGCATCAGTTCACGACGTGCATCCACGCTGCACTGGTCTTTGTCCTCCTACAGGCGGGTTTGGGAGGAGAAACAGATATTCTGAGAATACCCCCCAAAAAATAGCCAGACATTGTCGACAAAATCCTCCTCAGACGACTTGTTTGCTACTCTTGAGAATATCCCCCCTATAGAGGGACAGGCCCGACCTTACCACTGGTCCTCGCACCCCCCCCCTTGGGCGCCCCTGAGCCACTCGAGAGGCGAAGCTGCCCCAGGCCTCATCGCACGGAGCAACATCTCGTCGCGGCCGCGGTCGGGCCTCCCGGAGCCCTCCTCGCGCGGCGGGGGGAGGGCCGGGGAGGATGATGCTGCTCCCATCGTATCAGGGGGACGTAAGACCTGGGTACAGGGGACTCGGAAATCCCCGACGAGCTCGTCAAAAAAATGACGAGGCCGATCCTGCATTTTGACGAGGCCTCCCGCTGCAGACATCCCACGAAACTCCTCCTCGTCAAAATCCGAGGCGCGGTCGTCAAAAAACGATGGCGAACCCGAGTCCTGCCAAACCCGGGTCTTACGCTCCCCCGATCGTACTGCAGGACCACATCCCAGAAATCATTTCGAGCACCCGGAAAAGTGCCGAAGCAGCGTCGAAGCAGTGTCCAACGAGTGCCTCCCACAGGGCCCGACGCGTGAAAACCCTCCACGTTTCGGTTCTTGTTCGAATTTCTTCCTGGTGCTCCTGTCTAAAGTCGGTAGGAACATCATAAACGCAGGGGGGGGGGGGGGGGCGAACGCAGCACCTTGACATCCCCTGAGATCCGACGCTGCACAAAAAAATGCGACCTCGCGCGACGTCACCGCCGGAGCCCTGTAGACCCCATCTTCCTGCATCATGTTCCGAGCCGGGTCGATACGTGAGGGCTCAGGGACTCGAAACTGGGGGAGATTCCCCAGTGTGCAGCCAACGACAGCGATCCCAACGACAACGATACCGACAACGATGGCCACGACAACCATCGCAACGACAAGAACGATCGCAAAGACAACGACAACGATAGCCGATCACACCGACAACGACCACATCGATGACGATCAACTCCAGGCTCTCAGGGCTCCGCCGCCTTCCCCGCCGCGCTTCCGCCGACCTGCCGCCGGCCTGCCCCAGCGGAGCCGGCGGCGGGCCCTCCGGCCGTGTGGCCGCCGCCGCCCGTGCCGCCGAGGGCAGCACGCGCGGCGGCCGAGGGTCAGACCCCCCCATTCCCCCTGTCCTGCGCGCCTCGCGCAGCCCTGGGGGAGGTGTGCGGTGCGGGCGCGGGCGCGAAGCACCCTCGCAGGAAGCCCGACCCCGAGAACCCGAGCGCGAGGTGCACCCGAAGGGAAACCTGGAGAAGACCTGAGCGCACCAGCTACTCGGACTGCCGCGGGAAGGCACCACGCGGCGCGCGGAGCGAAGAAACCAAGGATACCCTGACGAAAAGCAGATGGCTCCTTGAAGCGCGACCCCACCTCACTGTAGGCTGGCGGATGCCTGGAGGCCAGGCCCCCCGCCCCAAGCACACGGAGGGATCCAGACTGCAGTCATCGTGCTACGAAGAGGAACGCTAAGTTTAGGTCGGGCATGTCACCCTACACGCGGATTTTGGAGAACAAATGCGAAGTAGTCAAAACATGCTCAACCATAGTCAACAATGGTCGAGAAATCGTCCCCTGACGATTCGTTGTAACTATTTTTGAATATTCCTCCTGTAGAGGGACATGCCCGACTTAACGCTAAGTGAGGAGCGAAGGGGCTTCGCTAGCCACGGCGAGCCTCGGCCAAAAACGGGTTCCCCGACCTAGACCTAAGGGACGGCCCGAAAACCAGCCCATCCTGACCCCAAAGTGGTCCTTGTTTCAGCGTCTTGGCTGCACGGAGGGATCCAGACTCGGGGTCCCGAGCGAACAGTCAGGCCTCTCCACATCCTGGGAAGCGCGCTCCCGTCCCAAGTGGATGCTTCGACACGACGCCTGGACACGCGACGCACGACAGAATCTCATGCGAGATCCAGGACCTCAAACAGCAGATCCCCCTCCTGTCGGCCATCTTGCCTGGTTCAAGAGGCTGACCATCACTCGGACGTACATGCCCGGTGCATGTTTCATCTTCGTGCGCTAATGTTTCGCACGATGACCCAAGATGCTCCTCAATGGTCCTCGCCGAGAGAAGATGCACACGTCCGGGCGAGGCCAAGAAGGGGGAGGAGACTGGCGATTATCGTGACGACGACCTCGTGCCTCCGTTTCTGGGCACAACCCTGGAATGTACGATGGGAGGGCGTGCATCCTCGATAGGGGTGCGTCCAGACAGCCTCCTGGGGGTGTCTCCCAGGCTTTCCCCCTGTTTCCTGAGCGGCCAAACGTTGCGGGCGGAACGGAGGAGAAAAATCGCCTGCGGCGACGCACACCCCCGACGTCGTGCTCTTTCCACAACGTCGACCATCCAGGAGCCTCGATCTCATCACGAGTCGCCCCATTGACGATCCCAGAGCCGGGCGAGGGCCCCCCCCCCCAGAAGCCGAACATGGCAACGAGCCTCCGTCGTGATTTTCAGATGGCCCGAGGTGGAGCCAGGATCGCAAAACAAACCTTTGATCGCAAAAAAAAAACCCAAGGGTTTTTTTGTTTTGCAATTTTTTGCAATCTTTCGTTCAAGGGATTGCACCCCCCCCCAAAAAAAAAACCCAACGAAAGATTGCGAAAAATTGCAACAACAAAAACAGTTTGTTTGCAATGTTTTGCAATCTTTCGTTCAAGGGAGAAACATCGCCTGCGCCAGTCGCGCGATCCCCGCTCGCAGTCTGCCCGCGCGAGTGCCCGAGAATGGGAGAGAAAATGCCGGCGCGCGACACAAATCGCAGCCCCCCTCGGCGAAACAAAAAAAAATCGGAACGGCGGACCAAATGCCTCGCGAAGGCTTGCAGCTGGCACCGCCTGCGAGGGGAGGAGGCCAGCGAGTATCGCGACGACGACCTTGTGCCCCTGTTTCGGGAGCCTCCCCGGAGTCAGTGGGGGAGGCGACGCAACATAATCTCACCCGAGACCCAGGACCTCGAGCAGCAGATCTTCCCCTCTTGTCGGCCATCTTTGACGGGCCACTCGTCCACCACCGCTGCCGTCTGTAGGACGGGGGAGCAGGGAGGATGAGGAGGTCCTCCTCCTCCTCCTTCTCCTCTTCCTCCTCCTCCTCCTCCTCCCCCTCCTCCTCCTTCTCTTCCTCCTCCTCCTACCTCCTACCTGTGGCAGGGCTGGTGGACGATGGGCCCAGCAATCCTGCCTGGCTCAAGACTAATAAGAGGCTCGCCGTCGCTCGGCCGGCCATGGTCCCCGTGCACTGCTCGTCCTCGTGCGCTGCTCTGCTTTTTTTCTCGCGCGAGGACCCGAGATGCTCCTCCGTTGTCCTCGCGCAGAGATAAATCGGGGGCGATCAAACATGGATCAGCGATCCATGGATTTGGCGCGCGGTCGCCAGATCCATGGCTCGGGGGAGGCGCCCTCCCCAAGATGCGGCCGCTGCCGCCCCGTTCGGCGGCGAGAGTCCGCGATTTCCCATGGAAACGGGACCCGTCGCTAACCCACGCCCCCTTCATCCATGTCTCAAGGGGCCCTGGGACACACAAATAAAAACACACAGGGGCTCCTCCCGCTCCTCCCCCCTCCGCCTGCTCCTGCTCTCGCTGATTCCTCGACGGGCCCGTCGGGAGGTGGTCCCCCCAAGAGGGAGGCCATGGGATCTCCGCTCCGAGCTTGTCTGTGCGCTCCCACTGCCTGCCGATGCTCCCCCTGCTCCTCCTGCCAGTGCTCCTCCTCCTCCTCCTCCTCCTCCTCCTCCTCCTCCTCCATCCTCCTCCTCCTCCATCCTCCTCCTCCTCCATCCTCCTCCTCCTCCTCCTCCTTCTCCTCCTCCTCCTTCTCGCTCCTCCTCCTCCCGTCTCCGCTTCCGCCCTGCAGGAGGCCCGTCCGGGCCCCCAAGCCCGGCCAGGCCGCGCGGCACGGGCTCCAAGCAGCGCGGACGGGTGGCCTGGTCGTGCCCGCCCCGCGGGACGCCCCCCCCCCCCCCCGCGGCCGGGGGCCTCTCCCTCTCCGCCTGCTCTGGAGCTCGCTGCTTCCCCGAAGGCCCCGCCAGGAGGGACCTCCCAGGAGGGAGGCCAGGGATCTCCGCTTGGAGGAGCTTCTGCGTGCGCCCCCTCCCTGCCAGTGCTCCTCCTGCTCCCCCATCCCCCTCTCCCCTTCCCCGCTCTCTCCTCGTGTCATCTCGTGTCGGCCCGCCTTGCCTCGCCTCGAGGCTGCGGATGTGACAGAGTACGAGTACTGCTCACGTGCATCATAGACACACGGCGTCTCGCTCTTCCTCGTCCCCCTTCCCCTCCGCCTGCTCCTGATCTCGCTGCCTCGCCTGCTCGTCATACTCTGTTCCGCCCCCGCCCCCCTCCCGCCTCCCCCCTCCGTTCCCCCCTTCGTCGCCCTCCTCGGGGGTAGTGGGTGGAGGTGGTGGGGGGCGGATGGGAACAGCGGGAGAGGGAGAAGGAGAAGGGATGTGGTAAGGAGCAAGGGAGGGAGTCAGGAGGGAAGGGTGAAGAAGGAAGAAGGGCTCCAAGGCGGATGGAGGAGGATGGCAGAAGGATCAGGAGGAGGAGCGCAAGGAGAACTACGGTCGGATCCAGGACAGAAGGGCATCTTCCAAGAACACGAGACCCTCCGCCAGCCAACCTGAAGAACAATCGAGGATACTCTCCCCCATGATTCAGAAGACCATCCAACAAACACGAAGAACACTAGGGTACCCTCCCCCAACCGACCTCAATCTTCTACCTCGGCCCGACCGCATTACATACCATAAGGACTAGCAGGAACAGGAGGAGGCACACGCCCATCGACGGCGACGGAGGCAGGAACAGCAGCAGCACCAGAAGCAGCGCTGGGTGGAGGAATGAGAAGGAGGAGGAGGAAGAGGAGGAGGAGGAGGAGGAGGAGTGATCATCACAAGGACGCAGCAAACTTAGCACTTAGTGTCCACCCAACGCAAAAAAGTGATCATAGCAGGAAGGAGGAACCCAGGCAAGAGGAGGAGGGGGAGGAGGAGGACAAGGACCATGATCGGAGGCATGAGGAGAAGTGGTATGATGGGCAGGGCGACGGACGCGGACGATAAGAACGGGAGACCAGGATAACCAGCAGGAGAAGGCCAAGGAGCAGCAAGGCCATACAGTCAAGCTACGACTAAGAGAAATGCTAGCCAAGGAGCACATCCCCTTTTCGACCCCAGAGGGGCCTGGATGCACGAGGAGCGCTCGAGGAACACGCATGAAGCGCATACAAAAGAGCGCAACAACTGCAAAGAGGGCGGCTCCTTTCGCAGGAGGCGGAGATGTGTAACGATGTCGCTCACGGCATGGCGCACCTGTCGAGGTCGCGCTTGGGGACAGCAGCAACAATTCCGCTGCCTGAAGGTCCCTTGCCAGTCTGCCTGTATGCCTTCGTCTTATCGCCCAACTCTCCAGCTGCTGTTGTCCATGCACTTGCCCTTTTCAACCCATTCATCGCGACAAGCTGTTCGGTACCACCTGGCACTCAAACGTCATAACTTGGAGGACCCGATTGTGAACACGTGCACGGCGCGACGTGCCAGGAACATCACGATAACCCTCCCTTGCTGTACCCACGAGTGGTCTCCTCACTCGGTTTCGGCTACTCTTGAACCGCCGTGCGAAATTTCCCGTTACTCTGCCGCTCCTGTCACCAATGCTTGTGGACGTGTGCAGAAAATCACACACACACACACACACACACACACACACACACACTCAAAGACACCAACACGGGGGGGAGATATATGCCTCCCAGTGGCCCCCCGCGTGATCTCCTCGTGCCCCCCGTATGACCCCCGTGGGTGCCCCCATTCTCCTCTCCCCCCCTCGTGCGTTTCCCCCGTGGCACCCGCGTGTGGCCCGTGCCCACCCCCCTCCCCAAGCCGGTAGTCCTCTTGGTCTGCCCCGTCAGCATGCCCCTCCTGCTCCTCCTCGTGCCCCGCCAGAGCTTCGGGGGGGGAGCACCCGTGCAAGCGGAAAATCCTGCTCGGGTGAGCTGGCCCGAAGGCGTTTCACGGTGCATCGGCATGTGAAACCGAAGCCAATGCTGAAGTGCACAGAGCCATGGAGAGGGCCCAGCCCGTAGGTTTGGTTGGAAGCACATCGTTGAGCAGTGCTTCAGCCTCCCCTGAGCACAGGCCCCCCCAAGAGCACAAGCCAGACACGTCGGGTTTGCACTCTCACGCTCGAAAGGGCGACGCACAATAACCCCGCAAAGGCCACGCACATGAACCCCAAACGGTACCAACACCGCTACTCCACGGACCTCTCCCAGGGTGCTTTCTGACCAGAACGCAGAACTTCGAAGCGAATCCATCGGTGGCGACGAGGGCATCCCAGGAGGCCCCAAAAGGCAGAATCGAGGCAGGGGCAGCGGCATCGGTACCATTTCCTACCCTGAGATCAGGCCCCCTCATTTTTCCGAAGCGATGCTTGCACTAGCTGATGGGCCTGCTTTCCACCACCAGCACCACCATAAGTTGGGGGGGAAGGGGTCCTCCTCCTCCTCCTCCTCCTCCTCCTCCTCCTCCTCCTCGTCCTCCACCTCCTCTTCGTCCTCCTCCTCCTCCTCCTCCTCCTCCTCCTCCTCGTCCTCCACCTCCTTCCCCCCTCGAACTTATGGTGGTGGTGGTGGAAAGGAGGCCCAGCACCAGGGGTCGTTGACTCGCTTCCACAGGGGAAGGCCGCCCAGCGCGACGCGGCTGCCACTCCCGCCACTTCGCCCAGTAATTAAGCGCCTGTGACCGGCCCGCGTGTGCTGCGTTTCTGGGTTTTGCCGAAACGGAGGAGGAGGAGGAGGAGGAGGAGGAGGAGGAGGAGGAGGAGGAGGAGGAGGACGTGGATCCCCCCCCCTCTGCCCGACCTCCACCTGCTGACTCCTCAACCGCAGAAACGCCCACAGGTCCAGTCGCACCACGGGCAGCAACTGCCTGGCACTCCTTCCTCCACCTCCTCCTCCTCCTCCTCCTCCTCCTCCTCCTTCCCCTTCATCATCCTCATCCTGGCCCTTGCCCTACTCCCTCCTCGCCCTCCCACCTCCCCATCAATGCCTTTTCCTCCCTGTCGCACCCCCAGGCGTGTCGGCAGAGTCGGCTGGTCGTTTCCCCTGCGATGTCCTCGCCTGTTGATGCTGAGGTTTGAAATGCAACAGATGTTTTCAGAATGGGGCTCTCGCCTCAGAACCGAACGCGCTTGTCTCAAAAACTCGCAACGACTGCACGGATGGCGGGGTGGTGGATTTCAAATTTGGGCAATCCGTGTAGCGCAGCACACATTAGGTTCATAGTCATTTATGCAGGCAGTTACATCAATGGTGGGACCTTCTCAGAATGGAGCTTTTGCTTCAGCGCCTCGCACATTCGTTTTCAAAATTTCTGTCAACTATGGAGTGCGGCTCCGTTTTTTGATGGGGCTCTCGCTTGGAGACTTCCTCGAAGACTATGGTCAGAAGTGGAAGCTTGTGCAGCATTTACATAGATGGGGGCGGCTCCCTTGCAAAACTGAGATCCAGCTGGACACCCCGTTGACTTGCATGAGAAAGCGTCATCCGATGTCCTCGGTTGCCGCCAGCTACCTTCCACAGCGGCCCAATGCCGCTTGTGTGGGTGCGTCGAATATTCGCCATGTTCCCGCCCGTCGCCGCCCGTTGCCGTTTGGGTGGGTGCGTCGAGGATTCGCCACGCCCCCGCCCGTTGCCACACCTTGCCGCTTGGGTGGCAGCGTCGAGGAGTCGCCGCGTTTGCCGCCCCTTTTCCGCCCGTTGCCGCCCATCGCCGCCACACTCCCCAAGCAGTGCTTGCACTTAGGGGTTACTGCGGAACTTACAAAAGGAATCGGGTTGGTGCGCCGAGGATTCGCCACGTTCTGGCCCGTTGCCGCTCGTTGCCGCCCGTCGCCGCCCGTTGCCGCTTGAGTGGGTGCGTCGAAGACTCGCCACGTTCCTGCCCGTTGACGCCTGTTGCCACTTGTGTGCGTGCGTCGAGGATGGCCCGTTGTCACCCGCTGCCGCCTCGTGCGCTCCCGCATCCAGTGGGGAGACGCGAAGCGTCTCGAAGCATTGCCACACATTTTCCACCACATATCTTCCACCACATACTTTTCACCACATAGCTTGCACCACATAGCTTCCACCACATGCCTTCAACCACATAGGTAGCCTCCAGTACACAGCTTCCACCACTGTTTGCGACCTACGCTGGCAATCATACGTACTATTCGCTAGCAGGGTGCGACGCAGCTCCTGTTCAAACATGGACTCGCGCCTGAAGGACAGGCACACAGGTCGGGTGTTGGTCTTCCAAGGGAGCGTTTCTTTTAGCGGACAGGAAGGCTTGGGACGGGAGGGTGTATTGCAGAATCTGTGGTGCATCTCGGGTTTACCCTGACCTTCCTCCCCCCTTGCCGTCCTCGTCCTCCTCCGCCGTCCGTCCTCCTCTTCCTCCTCCCTCTTATCCTCCTCCTCCTCCTCTTCCTCCTCCTCTTCCTCCTCCTCCTCTTCCTCCTCCCCTTCCTATTCCTCCTCCTCTTCCTCCTCCTCCTCCTCCTCTTCTTCCTCCCCCTCCTCATCCTCCTCCTCCTCCTCTTCCTCCTCCTCCTCCCCAAACCTTTTTCACGCTGCCCTGCCGTGCTCCCCACCCTCCCCCACCAAAGGGCTGCCGCCGCCGTTGTCGCGCCACTCCGTCGTCGGTCGCCGTGGCTCGTCGGCGCTCGTCTAGAGGCCTCCCAGATGGGATCCGAGTAGATGGGGTCGAAGAATCGCGCCGCATCGCCAACGCATCGCCGATGCATCGGCGATACATCGCCGATGCATCGGCGACGCCGGCCTGGGGAAACACGGTCTCCACATCGAGCCGCATCGTCGATGCATCGGCGATGCAGCGCGATCCTCCGACCCCATCTGCTCGGACCCCAGCGGGGAGGCCCGGATCGTCGCCGCCCGTCGACGATCGGCAGTCGGTCGCTACCAGCCACCACCGCCGTCGTCGTCGTCGCTCGTCGGCCGCTCGCCCGTCGTCGCTGCTCCTCCGTCGCTCGTCGTCGGTCGTCGACCGGCGGCCGTCGTCGCTCCGCACCTCCGCCTCCAGCCGCGGGTCGTCCGCTTCGCCCCGCGCCGCGGGGGCGTGGCGCGGCCGCTTCGCCGCGGGGGCGCGCTCCGGGGACGGCGGGCGGGGGAACACCTCCTGGGCGAGCGGGGGGGAATCGGCGGGGGGGGAGGGGGAGGGGGAGGAGGAGGAGGGGGAGGAGGAGGGAGGAGGAGGAGGAGGAGGAGGAGGAGGAGGTGGATTTTTTTTTTTTTTTTTTTTTTTGCACGGGACCATGCTGCAGCCCACGTACACCGCTCAGGGTGGGCGAAGCCCTGAGGGGGCAGCCGCCGACCACTGTACGGACGGACGGCTCTGAAAGACCCGCGAGGGGTGGGTGTGCCTGGGCGCACCGCGAGACCAGGCAGCAGAGACCCACCCCAGGGTGGCCCCTCACAGGCACACAGGGCCCAAGGGGGCCCTGCTACACCTGGACGGGGGCCGACGGCGCGCCAGGCACAGTGCCGCAGCCCTCGGCCGAGGGGAAAAAGGCCCGACAGGTGACAGCCTAAAGGACCGCCCGAGTTAGGCGGAGGAGGAGGAGGAGGTGGAGGACGAGGAGGAGGACGAGGAGGAGGAGGAGAGGAGGAGGAGGGGGAGGAGGAGGAGGAGGGAGGAGGAAGGAGGAGGGGGGCGGAGGCTGAGGAGGAGGAGGAGGAGAGGAGTAGGAGGAGGAGAAGGAGGAGGAGGAGGAGGAGGAGGAGGAGGGAGGACGAGGAGGAGGAGGAGGAGGAGGAGGAGGAGGAGGGAGGATGAGGAGGAGGAGGAGGGAGGAGGAAGGAGGAGGGGGCGGAGGCTGAGGATCCGCAAGCCTCTGCGCGGACTGTCGGCCGCGCAGGCGCCCGCGCGCGGCCACGCGCACGGGCGCGGGGGGCCTGGTTTCACCACCTGAGGTGCCAGGACCCCCCGACCGCGAACACGAAGAAGTCGAGCTCGCACGTGGACGGCCTTACCCTTGCCGTCCATGTCCGCGGGAGGGGGGAGGGGCGAGGGCCCTGCACGCGTAGCGGCGAGGCCGCCTACCCCCCCCCCCGCTGCTCCTCCCGCGGCCTCCCGGAGCCGCACCGGAGCCCCTGCCGCGCACGCCGCGGCCATCGGAGCCCCCGCCGCCTGCGCCGCTGGCTGCGTCCGCCAGCTCCTCGAGCTCGACAACCAACGCAACCAGCACGCCGTGGTCGAAGGGGGGGCCGCCGACTGCTGCGGGCAAGCCCGCGCTCTTCTGCAGGCGGGTGACGCGCTGGCGCAGCTGCCACACCTCCAAGTGGTCGAACTTGCCGCCGCTCTTGCCGCCCTTGCCCGCGTTCTTGTCCTTGCCGCCGCGCGAGCCTGTGCCGCCCGCCAGACGTCGACCATCTGCTCGTCCGTGTTGGTGTCCATCGCGCGCACGCCCGAGCCCGCCGCGCCGCCGCGCCCGCGAGGACGCCGCCGCCGCCGAGGGGCAGCAGCGGGTGCCTCCTGCGCCTGCGCGGCTGAGGGGGGCCCGGGCGGCGCTGCGAGGGCCGCCAGCGCGGCTCGCAGCAAGCCCTCGGCGGCCCGCGTCAGGCGCTGCGCCTCGCGGTTGCCGCCCGACGGCCCAGCCGCCGCGTGCGTCGCGAGGATCGCGCCGCGCACGGCCTCGCGCGACGCCATCGGAGGAGGAGGAGGAGGAGGAGGAGGAGGAGGAGGAGGAGGAGGAGGAGCCTGCGCCGCGTGCCGTTCTCGCTCGGACGTGGCTGGCGCGCGCGCCTCGTCCGCCGAGCCCCCTGCGAGGGTGGGGGGGACAAGCCAGGTGCGCTTGCGTCATATCTGACGCCCTGCCCCCTCCTTCCCATCCCTTCTGGGACGCACAGAGACATATTAATACAATATGTCCTCCTTGGAGGCGCGCGTCCGACCCGAAGACACGGTCTACCCATTATGTAGTATATCGTTTCCCGAGCGGTGTGGCCAGAAAGCGCCCGCCACGACGCATATACTATAAGATTTCTCGGTGCGCGCGTCGCCCACCTGGGGCGGCGACGCACATATAGTATAAGTATATTGGGGTGACGCCGACCTTGCCATGACGCAGATCTCCTCTCTATTCGCACAGCTGGATGTCGAGCAGGGCAGTGATCCCGAGAGGGTGCGCGATGCATCGTAGGGCACGGCGTAGCAGGGCGTTGACGTGCACAGCAGAGCGTAGCATGTCATAGCATCGCGTGGCGTTGCGTAGTGAATAATTGCATCACAAAGCGGCGCAACGCAAATAATGGCATCGCACAGCGACACAAGACAGAACATGGCATAGCATGGCGTTGAAGATCAAAGCGTAGCATGGCATAGCATGGTGGGACACTGCGTTGTCAAGCGTTGCATATCCTAGCATTGCAACTGAAGGCATGGCATCGCACAGCGGAACAACACAGAGCATTGTATTGCATGCCGTGGCATGGCACTGGAAATCATGACGCCAACCCTGCAGCGGGAGCACGATTCGGAACGAGCGGAAGAGCAGGAATGAGGCCAGCGCTGCAGCGGGGGCACGATTGGGAACGAGCGGAAGCCCGAAAACGAGGCCAGTGCTTCAGCGGGAGCAAAATTAAAAACAAAAGAACCCACGCGACAACCCAACTTCCGGGAATCCTGTGTGACAAAACAGTATGCGGAAAGGGGGGGCCGAACATCTCCCGGACGTCATCAGGGGAGAGAGGAGAGCAGTAGTCGTATGGGGAAATAGTGGAGGCGTGAAGGAAGGGGGGGGGGAAAGGGGGGGGGGAGCTATGGCGCAGTGGCGGATGCGTGGCGCCCCCGTGCTGGCCTCGCCACCTCACCACACTCACCTGAGGAGCAATCCTTCCCGCCACTGGCGGGCGGCCCAAAGGGCGTCGAGCCCCTTCCTGGTGGGCTGCTGGCCAGGGTGGCGGAGCCGTCTTCTGCTGCCAGCCTCTGCGCCAGGGAACGGGCCCCGCGGGAAAGGGTGGGTCAAGGGGGGCCAGGGGGAGGGGAGGGATAGGAGGCATCGTCTACCATTCCGTTCGATGCCCGGGGGGGGGGAGCAGCAACTGCGACCAGAATCCACTTTGGCCGTGGGCCCGGTCCGTTCAGATTGGCCCCTTTGTTCGTGTGCTCGTACCTTCTCCTCTCCGCAGCTTCTGGGATGTCTTGGGGCGCCGCTGGAAACCCCTCCCTGGCGCGCGGAGCGCGCAAGGGGCGCGCCAGAGGTGCTGCCAGGAGGCACAACGCATATCCAAGAAAACTGCGCGACGACATTCGAAAATGTGTGGTTAGTGTGTTTGGTCTTCATCTTCGAGTCTAGTCATCATGCTACCATCTACGCCTGGTATGGAACGACTGGGCTTGTTTTGGCCACGGCAAGCCTCGGAACGAATCGTTTCCCGGACCTGGATCTAAGAAACGGCCCGAAAGCCAAAGCCCTTCCTGAGCCTAAAATGGCCTTCATTCCAGCGCCCGACTGCTTGGCGACCGTGCCCCCAGGTCGACCCCCTGCGACGCAGGAGGGCCCCTCCTGGTTATCCTTTCCCTCCTCCTCCTCCTCATCCCCCTTCTTTCCGCCCCCTCCTCCTCCTCCTCCTCCTCCTTCTCCTCCTCCTCCTCCTCCTCCTCTTCCTCTTCCTCCTCCTCCTCCTCCTTCTCTCTCCTCCTCCTCCTCCTCTCCTCCTTCTCTCCTCCTCTCCTCCTCCTCCTCCTCCTCCTCCTCCTCCTCCTCCTCCCCTCATCCTCCTCCTCCTCTCCTCCTCCGCCTCCTCGAGGAAGGGGCGGCGGGGGGGGGGGGAGGCGTCCTGGAAGGCCCCCTTCAGGCGCGCCGCGGCCTTCTCGCGCCCACGGTCACTGACGTCCTGCACGGACGCCTCCCGGAAGGTGAGGTCCTGCTGGGGCGCCCCCTCGCGCAGGGGAGGAGGAGGAGGAGGAGGAGGAGGAGGAGGAGGAGGAGGAGGAGGAGGAGGAGGAGGAGGAGGAGGAGGAGTATTTCGTAGAGCGAGGCGCAAAGCAGCCGAAAAAGTGCGCGCGCGGCGGGGGGCCTGGTCCGCTCTACCGCCCTGCGGGAGGCCTACAAGCACAGGACCCACCGACCGATCGGAGCAGACCTCGCGCACAGCTCTGGATCCACGACCTCCGTGCCCACCAGCTCCTGGGCCTGGTTCCCGCGGCCCTCGGGGAAGGTCACGATGGGGTTGTCGATCGGCCGACTCCTGGTCTGCTCCTTCTGCGCCTCCTCGGGCTCGTCCGCCACCATCTCGAGGTCTGCCAGCGCCTGTGCCAGCGCCTCCGCGCGAGCAGTGCTCTTGCGGAGTTGGTCCAAGGCCATCTTCTCCTGCCGCACAGCCACACACAGAGCTCCTTCGGCGCGATCGTCCTCGGCGGGGGACGCCGCACCGCCATCCCTGAGCTGCGCCAGCGCCTCGGCCATCCGCACGGCGCGCGCCTCGCAAATGCGGACGAACTCCTCGGCAGTGCGCTCGTCCTTGCACGCCGGCTCAAGGGCAAGCCGTGCTCCGCCGAGAGCTCCTCCTCCATAGTCTCCTTCATCACCTCCACCTTCGTGCCGAAGATCTTCCTGAGAGTCTCGGGCGTCGCCCGGGGCGGCGCCAGCGACAGCGCCTTCTTGGGCGACACCCTCGCCACCAGAATGCCACGCTGCATCGCCACCAACTTCATCAGCACGGGCGCCGTGGGGCAGGCCAGGCAATACCAAGCTCAGCGCGGCGCCGAGCCTGGACAGCTCCTGGCCGCGGTGGCGGCCGATCTCCCCGAAGGCCTTGAGGAGATGGAGGGCCGCGCGGCCCTGCGCACGTGCGTACTGCGCACGGCGCTCGGCAGCCGTCCGATTCGGGCGGCGCGGCCGCCGCCAGGCACCCGGATCCATCCCAGCCGCCTGAGGGGGGACGCGGAGGGCGCGGCCACGCGCGCGGAGGGAGGAGGGAGGCCCAGGGCGGCGCGCGGAGCGCCAATAGCGCTGGCTTCGGAAGCCGAGGCTCGAGAAGCCGGCGCTGGAGGAGGAGGAGGAGGAGGAGGAGGAGGAGGAGGAGGAGGAGGAGGAGGAGGAGGAGGAGGAGGAGGGAGGGGGAGGAGGAGGAGGGGGAGGAGGAGGAGGAGGTGGTGGGGGGGGGGGGGGGGGGGCGGCCGGCGGGGTCGGGCCTCGGGAGGAGGCGGCGGAGCGCCGGAGGCGGGCGCAGCACGGGCCGCAGATCAAGGAGGCGCAGGTCCTCCTCCTCCTCCTCCTCCTCCTCCTCCTCCTCCTCGTCGGCGTCCCCGCCCCGGTCGTGGTCCACGCCTGTCTGGCTTCGCCGCAGCTCCCCGCGGCCTCTGGGGCCTCCGACGCCGTCGCGGGCCCCTCCCGCGATAGACAGGTCGAGGGCGCGGCCTCCTGGCTCCCCCGCGGGGCGCCAGGCATTCGCGAGGCGGCGCCCCACGGGGACTGGGCCGAGCAGTGGGTGCAAGTCGGTCGGAAGAAGCAGGTAAAAGCCTGAGGTGGAACGGCGGACAAAGCAGCTTGGGTCCAGGCCCTCCTAGAACATAGCTTGAAGTATGGAGGCCTCGTAGATGGGCACCGCGTAGATGGGCTTGTAGGATCTCGCCGCATCGGCGATGCACCGGCCATGCACTGGCGACGTCGGCGATGCATCTGCGACGTCGGCGTGGAGAACATCGGGCCCCACATCGAGCCACATCGGCGATGCATCGGCGATGCGGCGCGATCCTCCGACACCATCTACTCCGATCCTAAGAGGCCTAGAGCAGATCGACTCTTGAAGAAGGAAGGAGCTTGAAGAAGATTGGGATCCGGGAATCCAAACATTGGTGGGCTTGTTTTCCACGGCCATCACCCTAAGTAAGAGGGGGAGAAGGTCCTCCTCCTCGTCCTCCTCCTCCTCCCTCTCCTACCTGTGGCAGTGGTGGTGGAAACTGGGCCCATCAAAAACACCTGCCTCCAGCGACCCGCGTGCCATCGCCCGGCCGCGGACCGCCACCTCCGCGCTCCCGCGGCACAGCCACTCGGCGCGAACGGCCGGGCGCAGCACGTGCCGGTGGCGGGAGGGGGGCGTGGATTGGGCCCTCCCCGCCACCCTCGCGCGCTCTTGGTGGGGCCACGGCCGGCTCGCCACGGCCGCCGAGAGGGGAGCGAGCCTCACCCCCCTCGCGGGCAGCACCGTGGCCCAGGAAGGCCCGCCCGCGCCCACCGCGGCGTCGACGCTTTTTCTGGGCCCCTCGCCCGTCGTGCTGGTGGGCCTGCTGGCCCACAGCCAGGAGCTTCGGGCGCGCAGACCCCTCGACGACGGTGAGCCCAGAACCCCTCGAGTCACGAACAAACATCACGACGGAAGGTTTTTCGCCATTTTCGGCCTCTGGGGTGCCCTTCCCGGGCCGCGGGACAGTCAAGACACGACTCGGGATGAAACACCGGTCCTGGCGAACGGGTCCGGACCTCGTGGGGGTCGCGTAAGGAAAAAATCATGACGTCGGGGGGCTGGGTCGGCCCCGAGCAATCCGAAACCCTCAGGTGGGAGTATAGAACCACTTGAAGGCGAGCGGAGGGGGGACTGAGAAAGAGAAGGCCTTCTCAGAAGGCCGCCCCTTCTCACTTCCCCCCTTCGCTCGCCGCCGAACCCAAAGCAGAACCAGGCGGCGCGAGAGGAGAGATGACTGGGGGACGACGACAATTCTGGAGCAGGAGGATGGAGCACACGACAACCTGGACTTCGGATCCATGGATCTGGCGCGCGGGCGGCAGATCCACGGATCGGGGCAGGAAAGCACCCCGAAACACGAGGTCAGCGCCGCCTGATGCGGCGGCGGAGCGCGCCGAATCTGCACGGAAACGGGACCAGGAGGAGGCGGAGGAGGAGGAGGAGGAGGCGGAGGAGGAGGAGGCGGAGGCGGAGGAGGAGGAGGAGGAGGAGGAGGAGGAGGAGGAGGTAAGGGTGCAGGGGCCTCGGACGCCCACTCGAAGCTTCTCGAGCGGGGCGCGATTAACGAGAGTTGGCAAGGCATGGACCGAGGAGGCCCTTGGGCCCTTGCCCGTCCTTGCAGTGCGGGTTGGCTGCAGTCCATGTGTGCGCCTCCTCGAGAGGAAAAAGAACTATGCACATGCACCGATTCTGGCCAGGCCCATCCTGAGCCCAGGATCGGTGCATACGCCCTCCTACCTTGGCCAGGAAGGCATATGCACCGATCCTGGGTCAAAAATGGGCCTTGCCAGGATCGGTGCATGTGCATAGTTCTCTTCGCCCGATCCTCGAGAGGAGTGAGGAGAAAGGGCGGAGGAGCGGGAGGGGTCAAGGCTCAGGCGGCTGGGGGGTCGGCTCCAGCAGCAGCGCGGGGGCAGCGACCCAGGCAGAGCTGGCAGTGCCCTTCCCGTCATCAGGATGCTGGGCCGCCCCTGTCGCTGCAGGGGCCAGCCTCAGGTAGCATGATGCGCATCCCTCGCTGGCGGGGGCAAAGGAAAGAAGGATGGGAAGGAAGATTAGGAAAGGAGGACAGATGAGAAGGAGGATGACGAAAGGAGGACGGGAAGGTTGAGGAAGGGGGGCGGAACGAGGCGGGGGGAGGGGAGATGCAGGGAGGGGGACGATTCAGTGGGAGGTGGGGCGAGGAAGGATGAGAAGGCATAGGAGAGCCGATCAGCACAGATAGCCAAACGACGCGCGACTGCATGCGGGGGGGGGTCGGAGGCACCCAGGACTGGAAGAGGGGCGCGGCCCTCGTGTTCGTGGGCCCCCTGGGGTGGCGCACGAGCTTCTGCTCGGGCCCTGCAGGCGGATGCCCCTGACCAATGCCAAGGCGACCCCCCCCATTATTTCGGGAGGGAACGCCGGATGCACTCGTCCAGGCACTCCACACCGCAGAGGGCGAACGGCGAGAAAGCCGGCCACGCCGCAGTCCTCAGCCAGGGCCCCGCTGGAGGAGATCCCGGGCACCCCACACCGCTGCCAGGGCCAGGGGCGAACGCTGAAAAAGCCTGCCCGTGCACGACCCCAGTCAAGGCTTAGGTCGGGCATGTCCCCCTACAGGCGGACCGTGGACGAAAAAAGTTTATCATATCTCACAAAAATATGCCAAGACAGCTGAAAAAATTGTGAAAACATCGTCTGCAGACTAGTTGTGGACTGATTTTGAGCATTCCTCCTGTGGAGGGACAGGCCCGACGTGGAGTCAAGGCCCCCCCCAGGGGTGGACGGGGCCCCTCTCCGCCAGGACCCCCCCCCCCCCGAGCGAAAGAAGAACACGCCAGGGGCACCGCACCCCGGCACGGCGGGCCCAGGGCCCGCCACGGACGCAAAAAGCCGCACCGCAGAGAAGCCCGAGCACGGGCAGGGGCGGCTCTCCGAAGACGCTCCCGGGAGAGCCTCTCGTCCCGTCTCTGGGCTTTTTCGGCAAGAAACGGAACAGACTGTCCCCCCCCTGCTCTTCAGAAGACGCTCCCGGGAGCCTTTCGCAAATCACCCGAGAGTGGCCGCAGGGGCTCCTCCGATGGCCACCAGTGGACCCCAGCGGCCCCCCGCAAGCCTAAGAGCCGCCTCCAGTGTCGCCTCCAGTGGCCCCCCCGCGGCCTCCAATGGCCTCCAGTGGCCTCTCGTGGCCCCCCAGTGGCCTCCAGTGGCGCGAGCAAGCGACTGTGGACCACTGGAGGCGCAGGAAAGCCAGGCCAAATGACTATAAGAGGCTCCCAGGATCGTCTGAGACAGAAGTGCAATTCGCGGCTCGACTTGGCGGGGAAGGGGGCACCATCGACCTCCGACCCAAGCGAAGAGGAGCAGGAGGATAAGCCCGGACGTCCGACGTCGTGACTTTCTCAATGCGTGGCTCCCCATGGGCCTCGGCCCCTTCCCTGGGACCAGCACTGCATCCCGAGCCGTCTGTTGACTGTCCCGAGGCCTGGTGGGGGCCCCCAGAAGCCGAAAGTGAGCAGCAACTTTCGCCCATGATTTTCGGGAGGAGTGAAAAATTTGGACGTCAGGGACGGGGACGGGAAAGGCTGCCACGACGACGACGACGACGACGACGACGACGACGACGACGACGACGACGACGACGACGGCGACGGCGACGACGACGACGACGGCGACGACGACGGCGGCGGCGGCGGCGGCAGCGGCTCGCGCGAGCCAGCGCGCTCCTCCGGGCCGACGGTGGCAAGCGCCCGCAGCTGCGCCTCGCCGCCGCCGCCGCCGCCGCCGCCGCCGCCGCCGTCGTCGTCGTCGTCGTCGTCGTCGTCGTCGCCCGCCGCTGCGCCTCGTCGCGGCCGCGGCTGGAGGGGGGGCGGGCGGGGGCGGCGTCGAGGCGGGCCCGCGCCGAACGGTGAGCATTGTGGGCTGGCGAAGATGTCCCTGGCCCAAAACGTCCCCAGCTCTTCGCTCCATGCTGAAGCCCCTGGGGCCTCCTCCTCCTCCTCCTCCTCCTCCTCCTCCTCCTCCTCCTCCCTCTCGACCTCTTGATGGAGCGCTCTGGTGGCCGTGGGCGGGGCGGCCTCCTCGACACCCCCGGGGACACCTCTGGTCCAGGGACGCCTCTGGCAGCACCCCCGAGAGGAGGGCATTCTTCTGCCGGAGGGGTGCGCAGGGGGAAGCAGAAGGGGGGAGGGGTTAGAGGAAAAAGAACTATGCACATGCACCGATTCTGGAAAGGCCCATCCTGAGCCCAGGATCGGTGCATACGCCCTCCTACCTTGGCCAGGAAGGCATATGCACCGATCCTGGGTCAAGGATGGGCCTTGCCAGGATCGGTGCATGTGCATAGTTCTCTTCGCCCGAGGGGTGGGAGCATGACTGAAGGGGGGGGTGGCGCGCTCGCGCCGATTCCACACCCTGCCCCTCCCACGCCTGCCCTCCCAAGGCGCTGCCCGTTTCTCTTTCTCCGCCGCCGCGTGCCACAGCGGACCTGGAGCTCCAAAGAGGACTCCGCCTTGGTGTGGGCAGTCAGAAAAAAAGGGCTGCGCGTTTTGGAGGAAATCGCGGACGAGCAGGAGGATGAGTAAGAGGAAATAAGAGAGGACGAGAAATGACCAGCAGCACCAGCATATGAAGTGGAAAGAGCGGGATGACCAGAAGGACCAGGCGAAAAACAACGAGATGGAAACATGAGGGGGGCGACAACGATGAACATGGACTCGGATCCACAAATCTGGTCCGCGTTGGGGCGGGAGCAACACTCAGAACGACGGGAATCAAGCGCCGATCCGGAACATGAGGCCCACGCTGCAGCGGGAGCAGATTTGTTTGCACACCGAAAGCGATAACCACAAAACCATGAAGTAATCAATGTTTGAAATACTATGCGTCGAACAACTCGGTACGCGGAGGGGGCCGACCATCTTCCGAACAGGGTCAGGGGAGAGAGGGGAGTAGTATTCATAGCGTGTCTGGAGGGGGAGAGGGGGACAGGACGGGGGAAGGAAGGGAGAGAAGGGAGGAGTGAAGCGGGAGGACGGGGAGAGAAGGGGGGCTGGGGGGAGGGGAGAAGGAGGAGAGCGGGGAGGAGGATGAAGATGTATGGAGGGGGAGGGGGGCGGAAGAGGGAAGGGGGCGGGAAGGACGAGGGAATGGCGGGAGGAACGGAGGCGGGGGAGGGCGAAGGGGATCGCCGCGAGGGGGGTGGGCGGGCAGGGGAAGAAGGGCGGGCCGAGAGGCGAGTTCGTTTCCAGTGCCGCCTCTTTCCTCGCTCCCCTTGCCCCTCCTTCTTGTCCAGACCACCATCGTTTTGTGGAAAAAGCCGCGACGGGAAGCTTTTCACTATTTTCGGTTTCTGGATGCCTTTTACCAAGCCGCAAACGACTTCTTAAAATGGCAAGCCGGTTCCGGAGAATGGAGGATGGGTCCGGACCTTTGGGGGTCGCGTCATGGAGAAATCGGGGTCTGGGTCCCTTGGCCCCTCCTTCTTAGACTTGCGAATTTCTCGGACACATTCGTGTCGGCTGCCGCCATTGGCCGCGCCATTTGTATGTCCAGCGGTTTGCTTTGCGACTGGTTCCCAGCGGCAAGCTGCTACTGGCGTCTTTGCGGCTTGCAGAAACAATTTCTGAACGAATTCGGGATAATTTTGAACGAAGGAAATTCTGGGTGGCCTGCGATTTTGGGATTCCCTGGGATGTTCTGAATGGTTTTGGGGAAAGACGGGTAGACGACTGAGGAGGGACCGGGGAAGGAACTTTCATGAAATCACGCGGACACCTCCGCCCCGACCTACTTCGCTGGGGGTGTGATGACCACACGCGCATTCGCGCCAAACGGCCAGCCCACCAAAACATTGGCATCACAAGCACCAGAAGAGACAAATCCTCATCCCCCTCTGCCGCCGCTTGGACCCTTCCAAAGGGGGGGTCGTCATGTGTCGCGTCCGCGGGGGGCTTCGCTCCGCGACTCGTGGGGTGTCTCGCTCCGCGAGCGGGGATGGCGCCCCGCTGCGTGACGGAGCACTGCTCGCGCAGGCGGGGATGTCGCCGAGGGTTGGGGCGCCTCGCTGCGCCACATCGGCGGGGTCTCCTTCCGCGATGGATGGCCGATCTCGCTGCGCGAGTGGGGATGGCGCGTGGCTGCGCGACTGGGCACTGCTCGCGCGCTCGGGCTTCTCGCGCGGGGGTGTCGCAGGTGCGCCCCAATGACGAGGAGGAGCGGGCTGGCGAGCACACGCCGGGGAGTCCCCATCGGGGCGACCGAGTCCGAGCTGGGAGCCCAACGATCCGAAGTCACAGCGGTGGCCCCCATGATAAGACATCCCAATGGGGGGGCATGCGGGGCCTCGCTCCGCGATTGCTCGGGGGGTCCTCGCTCCGCGACCGGGGCGGCGCCCCGCTGCGCAAGCGGGCGCGCGCGCAAGGGCGGGGGATCGCTCCACGGTCTCGCTCCGCGATGCGGGCGTCACCCGCCTGCGCGCCTGGGCACGCGCGCGGGCGGGTGGGCGCCTCGCGCAAAGGGTGGCGCAACTTCCGCGGGCACCCGATGCGGAATCCCATATCTAGTCGGACCTGGGCCAGAAACAAAAACATCCCTCGAGAGCACGGGGCCCTCCGCGAGCTAGAACACACAGGGCAGCCGAGGAAATCATCTGCTGTTCTGTGCGGGGGGGGGAGGGGGAGGCGGAGGAGGAGGAGGAGGAGGAGGAGGAGGAGGAGGAGGAGGAGGAGGAGGAGGAGGAGGAGGAGGAGGGGGAGGGGCGGAGGGGGAGGCGGCGGAGGAGGAGAGGGAGGATGAGGAGGAGGAGGAGGAGGAGGAGGAGGAGGAGGAGGAGGAGGAGGAGGAGGAGGAGCAGGAGGAGGAGGAGGAGGAGGAGGAGGATGAGGACGAGGAGGACGAGAAGGGCGAGGAGGAGGAGGAGGAGGAGGCACAATAACCTCCAGCAAGCACGAAGAACGCAGGGGGGCCTCGCTCCGAGTCGGGTGGGGGGGGGCTCGGCCTGCGATGAGGGGGGACGGCGTTTTTCTGCGCTACAAGCCGCGCGCGCGCGCTGGCGGGGACGACTCGCGCGGCGGTGAGACGCAACTGCGTTCCCCAGAAAACGGTATCCATCGGTCGGAAGAGGTAGGTAGAAATATGAAGCAGGAAGGCGTTGAACGTAAATTGGGTGTCCGTCCGCCCCCTAAGGGGGACCGAACAGATGAAGCAATTCGGTCATTGAAGTAGGAAAGCGCTTAAAAAGAACTGGAATCTGGGAATCCAAAGATACCTACTTTCAAACTTTCAACGACCGATGGGTATCCTGGTTGGGGAGCGCAGGAGACGGATGCCCATTTTGGGGGGAAACCGCTGGGAAGGAATTCCGCTTGCGGACTCCACGAGGGGAGCTCCCGATCGGGCCACTAAGACTAGAGAGCGTGGGAATGAATCCCCGCTGCGGGGCTCCAGGAGATGGAATCACGCGGGGGGGGGGCGTAAAAAGGGATCCCACTTAGGGGGGGGGGGCACGAGGAGGTTCCCACTTGAGAGGCTCATGGTAAGGAATCTCACTTGTAGACTCCATGAGGGGAAATCCCGATTGGGTCACTAAGACGAAATAACATGCGAAGGAATCCCCGCTGCGGGACCCCAAGAGATGAAATCACGCGGGGGGGGAAAGGGGGGGGGGGGGGGGGCGAAACAAGCGATCCCACTTAGGGGGGGAGCATGAGGAATCCCACTTGAGAGGCCTCCATGAGGGGAAATCCCGCTTTGGCCACATGCGAAATAATCCCTACTGCGGCTCCCCGTGATATGGAATCGCACAGTTGGGCATGACAATGAATCCCAACTGGGTGGGGGGGGCATGAGGAGGAATCCCAAATGGGGCGCCCATGAGAAGGAATCGCGGACTCCATGAGGGGGAAACGCGATTGGGCCAGTGAGAAGACACCCCGTGCGAAGGGATCCAAATTGCGGAGCCCCAGGCGATGGGAACACCCCGAAGGGGATTTGAAAATGAATCTCCGTTCGAGGGGGGGGCATGAGGAGAAGACCTAATAGGGGGCGGGTCCACGAGAGGGAATGCGAACTGCGGGGCCTCATAAGAAGAAGGGACCTTCTTTTCGGGGGCCGTCAGGCTGTTTCGCCAAGCAGAGCGTTGATCGTGTCGCGGGCAGCTTCGCGAAGGCGGCGCTGGAACCCCCTGCAACGATTCGCGCTGTCGAGCCTCATTCAGACCTCCTGTAGGTCCGCCACCATGCCTGCGCCACGCTGGGGCGTATTGCTTCGGATGCGCCTCTGCTGTCCGGTGACGTTTCTGTAGGGCATCTAGCGCCGACTCCCTGCTATCGCCCCGGCCACCCTTGGGAGGCGACGACACGGGCGAATAGCCCAGGGGCGGGCACTCCATGCATTCGCCCGGGAGCCTCGCCGATGGCATGGACCATCGGCGGCCCTGGATGCATGCATTGCTCTCCCGCATCGTCGCCCCCGAACCCTCGAGACCGCCCCTCCTGGCGTCGCTGCCCGGCGCCCGCCTTGGTCTGCCTCCAGACGGCCCACGGGCCGCCCCCGAGGCCGCCAGGCACTCCGACAACAGCCACAAGGAGGCAGGGCGGGGCACAGGAGGCCTGCAGGCCCGTGCAGACTCCCAAGATGCTACAAGGCCTTTCCAGTACGCCCCACGGGTGTCCCCCAAGAGGCGCCCAAGGGGCGTCCCAAGAGGGCCCCACGAGGCCCAAATCATTGATTCTCCTTAGCAAAACGTGTATTTTTGTTCGCATATGCGGCTTTTCGGATTTCACAACGTTGACGACGGCCCGAGAGGCCCCCAAGACCGCCCCAAGACGGCCCAAGAGGCTCCCAAGAGGCCCCCAAAACGGCCCAAGAGGGCCCCCAGACAACCCAAGAGGCGCCCAAGACGGCCCCAGAGGGCCCCAAGACGGCCCCCAGAGGGGTACCACGAACCGGCCTCCAGGAGGCGTCCGACGAGGTATCCAGCGAGGATCTCAAGAGCGAAACGCACTGAAAGACAGCCAGACCAATGACAGAATAGCATTCTTCAAGAACATGAGACCCTCCGCTGGCCCCAGCTGAAGAATATTCGAGGGTGCCCTCCCCCAGGATGCACAAGAACATCCAACAAATACGAAGAGCATTAGGATACCCTCCCCGAGCCGACATCGATCTGATAACTCGGTCCGACCACATCCTAGCCATGTTTTTTTCGTCCGAAGCTTTTCGGCTTCAGATCGTCCCGGGAAGTACCCCAAACGGCCCTGGACTGCCCCAAGATAGCCTCACAACTACACGACGACACCCCTAGAGTGCCCAAGAGGGATCCAAGCGGGCTGCAACACTGGAGGCCCTCGAGAGGTGTCACATGGAGCTCCTGAAGACTCCGATATGCTTCTAAGAAGGTAGACGCGGACCAAGGAGGAAAGATGAGACAGAGAGGCAGGTGACAAGGAGGGAAAGTTCAAGACCCGCACCAGCTTAAACGTTAGGTCGGGCATGTCCCCCATACAAGGGGATCTTTGACAACAAACTAAAATTACCCAGAAAATGCCAAAACCATTGCCCAACAATGCTCAAAACATCGTTCCCAGACTATTTGACTACGTATTTTTGAAAATTCCTCCTGTAGAGGGACAGGCCCGACTTAACTCAAACGCGGCAATAAACTTGAGCGGGTCTTCGGCTCGACCTCTTCCCCCGCCGCGCTGCCTGGCTGGCCCCGGTGGCGGAACGTGCCGCATGCCGCTGGGCAGCTCAACCAGCGCTGCGCTCAGGTCGGGCCTGTCCTCCCACAGGCGGGTTTTGGACGAAAGGAAGATCCACACCATACCACCAAATAGGCAAACACAGTCAAACCATCGTCCCCGCATGATTTGTGGACTCTTTTGGAATCGTCCTCCTGTAGAGGGACAGGCCCGACTTAACGCTACGTAAGTCAAACAATCGTCCCCGTATTATTTGTGGGCTATTTTGGAATTGTCCCCCTGTAGAGGGACAGGCCCGACTGAACGCTGCGTAGCGGAGAAAGACTGCGCAGCCCGCCTCCTTGCGTCGCTGGGACACTGGGTGCCCGCCCCGTCGCTCGTCGGGTGCTCCGCCGAACCGCGGAACGCTCCAACGCGTCTGACGACGACCACGACGACGACGACGACCACGACGACGACGACGACGACGACGACGACGACGACGACGACGGCGACGGTGACGACGACGACGACGACGACGACGACGGCGACGACGGCGACGGTGACGACGACGACGGCGGCGACGGCAACGACGACGACTTCGGCGACGACGACAGTTGCTCGTGCCTGACATGGAGTTGGACAAAGTCCCATTTCGGGGGCGGCCAAGAGGAGGGCGCCCAAGAGGGGGGGGTGCAAATCATGGCCAGCGGCATGTGCGCGGCCCAAGGGGGGGGGGCCAGAGACGTAATGAAACAAGAAGAGGCGCCATGAAATCTGGGGAAATTGCATGGCCCACGCCATGACGTCGAACCCCCCCTAGTCATCATCACCCTCTTTGCCGCCCCCGACCATTGCTCAAAGCCCCTTCAGCAAAAACGGCCCGGGATCAGACCTGGCAGGCCAAGGCCCGCAAACCCAGCGGCCGCCGCGCCGTCTCGAGATCCGACCAATCCGGGCAATTCGCTAATTACAGTGGGGGCCAGTCCACAAGAAACCTCGCACAAGAAACCCAATCCTGAGACCCCAGGACGGCCATTCATTTTTGGCGTGGGGACGCCACGCTTTCGATAGAAAAACAATCGAAACCCAAGGACAACGGGGCACCCTGGGGGCAATCAGGGTGTTTCTTGGGATGGGACTCCGCTGTAATCGACTTGCCAGGGTGGGGGCTCTGTCAACCTCCGACTGGCGCTGAGAAGCAGGGTGTCGCGCTCGCTCTGGTTCGGGGACAGGGGGGGGGGGGGCCGAAGGAGCACACCAGCAGGAGGCCGAGCGCTTCGGTCGCGACTCGGCCTGCCCGAGCACTTGAGACCGTGCTGCAACCGCCGCCGTTGGGGCGAGTGGCAGGATAAGGAGGGTATCAAACGGAGGGGGAAGAGGAGGAGGAGAAGGAGGAGGAGGAGGAGGAGGAGGAGGACATAGGATGGCGAGGACGTCCTCCCGCGAGGGGAGCTCGGCCGCCGTCCTCCCCGCCGCTGCCGTCGTCCTGCCACCTGCCGAGCCGCCGCCGCCGTCCTTGTTGCAGCCGCCGCCGCCGCCGGTCGCCGCCGTGCCTGGAAGGTCCACGAGCTGTCCAGCGCCGACCCGGCGCAAGCGCCCTGCCTGTGCCCGCCGCCCATGGCGCTCCGGGGGCGCGCCCCAGTCTAGTGGCTGGGCGGCGCGCGCCTGACCACCCGGGGCGACCGAGGGGGGCGAGGAGGGGTACGGGAGGAAGTGGGGATGGGGGAGGGGAAGGGCCAGGATGGGGAAGCGGAGGAGGGGGGAGGAGGAAGACGAGGGCCAGGGGGGCAGGGGGAAGGAGGGGAAGCAAACGAGGGGTAGACAGATGCGGAGGGTAAGGGTGAGCAAGGCGAGGAGAAGCGAGGGAAAGAAAGTGAGAGACAGAGAGAGCGAGGATTGGAAGAAAGGGAGAGACAGGGCTGGAGTCGAAAGGACGAGGAGAATACGTTAGAGTTCGAAGCAGAGGAAGTTCACGGGCACACGCTCCCAGGCAGCCGCTCTCGCGGGCCCATTGCGGAGAACCGGACGAGCGAACTCGAGCGAAAGAATGCGCAACCATCCTCGAGAGAGGGCGAGTGGGCGGAGAGAGAGAGAGAAAGAGAGAGAGCGCGTGGCAGACCATCATCTTCTGTAGAAGAAGAACAGCGGCATGATAATAAGGTTTCGGAGGTCCGCACAAATTTTGATATCGGTGCTGGACCCCCCCCCAACGCCTGGCGCGCGGAGCCCACCAGGGACGGCGCGGGAGGCGCCGCCAGAGGGGTCCAGCCCCGATCCAAAGACTCCGCGCGGACCTCCGAGTGCCCGTGTTTGTGTCTCTGGAGCTCTTCTTTTCTTCTGTGCTCTCTGGAGGGAGGCATGGACGTCCGTGCGGACGCGACGCACCAGGGCGCAGAGCAGCACGCGGGAATGGAGAGCGCCCCCGCCCAGGGGCGCGGGGCGCGGTGAACGGCGGCCGCGAGCTCGCCTCGTAATCGACTGCCTTCCCCGCCCTGCGCCTGCGCTCGGGCGCCTGTGCCGTCGGCCTTCCCGGGGCCGGCCGCCCGAGCGCGCGGGGAAGGGGGGGGGCAATCGGGGGGGAGGGGACGGGGCAAAGGGCGCGCCCGAAGCACCTCCTCGCCAGAGGGGGCGGGCGCGCAAGAGGTGGGGGGCTGCTAAGGGCGCCCCTGGCCCAGGGCGCCCCCAGCTTTCCGCTCTGGAGCCCCAGTCGGGGCCCTCTGCAGCCATGGGCCTCGTGAGGGGTGCTCCGGAGGCCGTCGGAGCCTCGTTGGAAATCCTGGGGGCAGCTGTTGGCGGTGAGCCTGGGGGGGATGTGAGAAGGAGAAGGCCTTCTCAGAATGCTCGGACCCCCCCCCCGGCCCTTTGGGAAGCTTTCTAAGCCCTCCCGGAGACACACACAGAGGACACTCCTCCGAAAGCGTGAGGCCTTCTGAGAAGTCCCGCCGCCTCCTGAAAAAGTCTTCGCCTTCTCACTTCCCCCCCCCCGCTCGCCGCCGAGAGAGGGCAGGGGCGCGCGCAGGAGAGGCGTGCGGCAGGGACCACCTCGGGGATCTTCTGACACGGGTCAATCCAGACCCGGGTCAGCCAGGCCTTGCAGAATCCTGCAAGATCCTGCCAGACCCTGCACCCAAACCCAGGTCAACGCGAAGGATCCTGCAAAATCCTGCAGGATCCTGCACCCATACCCGGGTCAATGGGAGCCTGGCCCTGCAGGATCCAGCAAGATCGGGCGCTCTGGCTGACCCCCGTTTGCACTGACCCCCGTCTCAAGGCTCCCGACCACCCTGTCTGCACTGGGCGCCGGTCCCGAGGACGCGGGCGCCCAGAAGCGGGGGCAGGGGCGGGGGGCTCAGAGCGGCGAAGCACAGGCTCGGCGCGCGCGCGCCTCGCGAGCTCCACTCCCGTCCAGGCCGCACAGGCTCCAGCAGACGACGGGACGCCGAGCGTCGAACACCTCGGTCGTCGACGCTGGATCCTCCCACTGGGCGGCGCGCAGAGGGGGGTATAGGGGGAGGGGGGAAGGCTTCTGAGGAGGCTGCCTCTGAGGAGGCGCCCGCCCTGCATCGACAGACGAGGCCCACACACCTTCTAAGAAGCAGGGGTGCGTCTGACCAACCTCGACTGCGAGGAGTGGCTGCGCCAGGGCCACGACCAGCCCCTGCAGCATTGCCCGGCCGTGGCGCCGCAAGGTGGCGTCCAGAGGGCTTCCACAACGGACGAAAGCACCGCCGAGGACCGGCAGGAGGAGGGTAGAACGACGAAGAAGACGAGAACGAGGAGAAGGACGAGGAGGACGAGGAGGGGAGGACGAGGGGGGGGGGGATGATGCGGAGAGGTGGAAGGAGGATGAGGCGGAGAAGCAGAAGGGGGGGAAAGGATGGGGAGGATGATGTTGCTGCTGCTGCTGAGGAGGAGAAGGAGGAGGAGGAGGAGGAGGAGGCGCACCCCTGGCGAGCAGATCCCTCCCCGCGCGCCTGGAAGATCAGGAAGATGGAGCCGTGGCGGGCTCAGCTCTGATGCTCTAAGCAGTGGGAGGCTGGGGGACAGGACGGGCAGAGGAACCAACAACAGAGCGGATGACACGAGAGCGACGAGCAGAGGCGCGTAGGCGCCCATGCATCAGTGCACACGCTCGATTGGAAGACACAGGGCAGCTCCTAACTACCTGGTATACACTATGCAGCAGATCGACAGCAGCAGCATGCGAAAGAAGACTGGGAATGGATGGGACAGAAAAGCGCTGTGGAAAAAGGACAGAGAATGGCTCAGATCCCCAACTCACAGGAAGATGACGAAGATGGCGACGAATGAAAGGAACGACGGCAGGGCAAACAGCATAATGTACCATGGTGTCCCCGTTGTGGCAGCCACACCCGAATCTGCAGATGGCAATTGATTGACGGTATCTTCTCGTGGTGTTCCACGCGTTGAACATGCTTTTCACGACACTCGTGATGATATATGTGGGGCACTTGTGCTTTTCGAGGAGACCAAGACGAAACCAGGCAGTCTGAACTTCCATAGGTTCGATGGGCCCAAGAATCTTCTGAAGCCGAGGAGCGATGACCTCCAAGATATTCCTGGAGTCCCAGTCCCTGGCTCTAGTTAAGGCGCAAGTAACCTTCCTCTGGACCACCTTGGGGTCCACCTCATCCAAAAGCCGTGGGTATTCCATCAAGAACTTGGGGTAGATTTCAACAGTCTGAAAAAATATCGATTCATTCAAGTATGGGTTCCACTTCCAGGTCAGGTTATAGTAGTCGCTAGCAAGGGTGTCCTGGAAGCACTGATAGAGCCGCTGGAAGCTGTCGGAGTTGTGCGCGCATCTTATCAGCGCCGCACGCGCAATCACTTCCAGGTCATGGCATTGCACCGGGTGACCAAGCTCAGTCATCCGCTTCAAAGCTTCAGGCGGAAAAGAATGCCGAGGGCAGCAAGTGAGCAGCTGGTGGCTCTCCTTCTCGTTGTTTTTCGCTTTTTTGGTGATGGGGTAGAACTGGGCGATATGGGACGGGATGGGAGCACAGTAGCGGTTGAACGCGACGATGGACGACGTGAACCCCAAGCCGAGACTTTTGACCTCCCCCGCACGACTTCTCATTTTGCTGCTCACCTGAAGCCAAGCGCGCTCTCGGGCTCCACGACCGACTGGAACCCCAAGCGTGGTCACCATGTTCGACAGCTTAAAACCGCCGATGTCGAGGCCGTGCTCGAGAAATTTCTGGCGTATCTGATCTCTTGTGTACTGTGTGTGGAGCATGATGATGCACTTATTAATGTTCAGCGAGAGGCCCGACATAGGCCCGAAGTCCTTGATGTCAGCAATTACTTTAGGAAGGATTTCGAATAGGTTATACGCTACCACAGAGAGATCGTCCGCGAAGGCTGAAGGCGTAAACGGGTAACGAAGCTGTCTTAGCCCTATAGCGCGCAACAGAGGGTCCATTGCAAAGGCCCATAAGATACCACTGAGAGGACACCCTTGACGAATTCCACGCTCGGCTAAGAAACCCCGAAATCTTTCACTCCCAATGAAGATATAGCAAATACAATTCGAGTAGAGAGCTGCCAGAGCCCCAATCACACTAGACGGAAGACCATAGGCACGCAGCACCTCAAAGAGCCAGACCTGGAAGACCGAGGCGAAGGCAGCCTTCAGGTCGAACGTAGCCCCTCCTATTCCTTCTCCCCCGACAAGAACACCCCATTGGGCAAGCGATCCTTCAAAGTCGTATATGTTGTCCACCATTTTCTTCCCCCAATGAAACCACGCTGAATTCCGTGGAGCCGCTCCTGGACCACAACCTTCAAGGGGTAGGCCACACTAGAGGCCATCAATTTTTGATCGGTGTTGCTGAGGGCCAGAGGACGAGTTTCTTCAGCAGCCTTAGTCGCTTTGCGGTCGAGGGGGATCTCACCTTTTGGAAGAAAGACTAGCTTGCACATGTTAAACGACTCGTGCACTGCTCCGCCAGACATCAAGTGGATATAGTGTTGATACAGCGCATCCTCGATTACCTGGTTACCACACTGCCAGACCGAATATGGTAGCCCATCAGGGCCGGGAGCCGAATCAACTCGGGAATGAAGTAGATCATGAAATTGCCCAGGAGAGATGACCCAAGGATAACGCTGATGGGTGATCGTCGTATACTGGTAGTTGTCCTCAGGGATCCGCGGGATCAGGTCCAGAAATCTTTTGGCATTTTCCATGCTCGGAGCTCCAGGACTGAAAACCTTCCCCCAGTATTCAGCTAGTGTGGTAGCACAAGTACGCGGGTCGGCATGAGCAGTGCCATCAGGGCCAACAACAGCAGATAAGCACACCTGCCTCCTGGAAGCCCTCCAAGCCTTCCCGAGACGCTTGATACGAGCAATGTGAAAGTCGCGAACAGCAACTGGAAGCTGACGAGCAGACAATTCGCGCTCGTAGTCGTCAAGCACGTCCCTCATCAGGGCTGACAACTGCGTGTGAAAGCCACTTACATTTGTCCAGACACCAACGTCAGTGTCGTAGTATTGGGCGAGGATGGGGTAGGCCTTGACAGCCTGACGACATACCTTTTCCTGTCCTGACCGAGCGGCTCTCAAGAGTTTGGTGCAACAGGAAACCTTCTCT